GGAGACCCTTGGAGTTTAGAGCGCTGCTCTCATTTTGCACTCGGCTGCTTTTGACGGTATGATTCACCTAGCACGACTCTCCAGATTGATTGGCTTTTCGCTTGCAAACAGTGGTATAGTGAGTTCATTGAGACTCTTCTGCAACACAAGGTTTGTTGAAGTAGACGATCTTTCAGATTTGGGTGATGGGTTTTGTCAGACTCCATGGGTGTTATTTAACTCTACCAAAGGACCTCGATCCCGAAAAAAGACACTGTCCAGCACTCGCACTAGAAACATCTAAAGTTGCTTGAACCACACTTGTGTCCATGTTACTAGAGTCTAGAGATTACTGCATACAGCTGAGCAGGATGTGTTTGGCCTGTTCTAAAGATGTATTTGGAGTATGAATGATTGACTGGACTTAACTTGGGTCATGCCAGTTGTTTGACAATGTTCCATGAGCTCCGTTTGTTACCACGAGGCGCACGTATCTCCAATTCGGGAAGGATCCATTTACCAAAGGTCCGAGCGATGTGACAAGTTGCATGTTCGGAGATTCCCTAGGCCCCGGGCAATCGGAGACACCACATCTTCACGGGCGTTTCAGCTCAAAGTCTCTCAGGTGCATTCCCGTTTCTGGGTCGGGTACTCTCATGATCTCCTGCCCGTGTCCCAAATGATCCAAGTTGCCTTTGCACAATTTAATTTTCTGCGGAAGGGGGGCTTCCAGAAGCCAAACGAGACACCATCTCCCGTTGGACAATGCTTGGGATCATACCGCGAGCTTCGCCCACGGCGTGAATGGCAGCCGTTGAGAGAGGCACCGGGTTTTAATCCCGTTCCAACTTCATGGCTGAGTGCTGCATCACTACCGCTGCGTCAGAACCCTGGCTCGCTGAGACATGAATCCGCTGTGGCGGCTGGGCTTCGAAACATAAAGCTTAATATGTTTTGATTGTGCTATTCTCTTGGTGAGATGCGCTTGGCGCAGACTTATCCTTGTATATGTTGAAGTATATGCGAGTGTTTGAGTGGTTTTCAGCTGTGCTTGTTCTTAACTGGCCGAGTGATGATGTGTTCGATGATTGGATATGTGCAATGAAGGTGGCACTAGGCGCATCCAAGCAGCTCAAGTCTGCCAGGCGGAATACCACCAATGATCTAGCAAACATGCATCGCGGAAATTTAGGTCTACAAACAGCATTGGCATTTACTGCGGGAAACCCAATTAGTGAATCAAACATGAAGCTTATTGCGAGCTACCGATTGTAATATTAAGGGATTCATTTGTAGAAAAGACAGGCGACTTTTTGAGTTCAGTTCAAGTCATGCTTGGTGTGGCATGGTTGAAACCATCTTACATCCTTACCCTTTACAACAAAGTAAGATCAGCGCATTGTGTGTTAAGATCCAAGGTTAAGGATTGAAGTTTGAGCAACCCCACTTCTTCTTAAAAACCACCCACCTCATATCAAGGCGCTCCCTTTGTCGCATTCCACGGACCCCCCCCACTACTGACTGCGGGTTTCTGAATCAGGTACTCTTGATTTAATCAGGGGTTTGCTGATTGAATAAGGAGTTCAATCAGGGGATAGTGTCCCATGCTGTGACTTTGAGATAAACATGGAGGCTCAAGCTCAACCCCGGCGCTTTCATGCCGGGCGTCGGGCGTGCCCGATCGGTCCTCTCAGGCCAGGCAACAGACCAGCGCATTCGAGGGTGAGAAAGCGAGATCGCGCGCCGGGGCTTTGTAGAACTTTTCTATCTAAAATTCCAGCCCCCCCCTCCCCCAAGAGGAGTTCACAGAACCTTCTTAGAAAGGGTTTTAAGAAGGGTTCTGAGACCTTCCTCAGGGCATGCGGAGCCCTGAATGTGGTCGATTCCTTCTTGTTGGTGTGTTCCAGTAAGCGCAGATACAGTGGAGCGGTTCCGTGTATGAATGGGAAGCAGGGTCCGAACAAATCAGTTTCAACAAACACACAACTGCCATTAATTTTGCAAAATTAATCGTAACGCTGGTCGGTCTCACTGTCCTCTTCCCACTTGCTGGGCTCCCAAGTTGTCGGCCTTTCATTGCCAAGATGATGCATCCAACTTGGCTCTGCCGATTTGAGTTGGCAAAGCTGCCAGTGTGAAGTCAAAAGTGAAAACTAAGGAAGGTTCAATTGTTGGACGACTGGTAAACTTTTGCTACCCATCATGTGCAGGATAAGACGAACGACAAAATGTAGCCTGCCGAAAGGCCCACAGTCTCGTGAAAAGAAGCTTCACGTCGGCTTGACATCCCAAGGAGAAAGCACAACAGGCAACAATCTATCTACAGGAGGCCACGCACTTTTCCAAAGGACACTGCCAGGGTCTTTCGAACGAAACCTTAGAAATGCCACGAACATGTTGATTCGGAGAAACAACTTTTCTCAAACCCATGGATAAAACAGGCAGATGGGAGCCTGAGAAATTGCAGATCCCATCCGGCTGCAATGACAAAATGTCACATGTCTTTAAAGTTACACCAACACACAGACGCACTCATGCGCAGAAGACGAAAGACACATTTAAGCACGTGCAATGGCAACTTCACTGACTTCAGCAAGTGAACTGATGCCGAGGTGTGTGTTTTGCAACCTCGCGTGCTACAACAGGAAAGCAGAGGAAAATAGATCCAGAGACCCGGGACCCGCTTGCCCCCACAGCCAAATCCAAACACCCAAAACCAATCATAGCTCAAAGCAAAGTCTGAATGTGCACAAATTGAACAACATGCAGACTTTGCTCAGTTGTTCAGTGGCACCTGCCCCCCCAAAAAAAAGATCTTCCCAAAAAAGGGTTTCCAGGGTCACTGAACAAGTAGATTTGAGTACCTCGAGAATGCAGCAAAAATGCAGATGGCTTCGTCCCTGGGGCAAGTTCTGCTCTTGACTTTAGACGAAGCGCTGCTTTCATTCGGCGAATTCAGCACACTGAACAATCACAGCTCTTTGCAGTCCCCTCTTTTTACCTGCAACTTATGTTTTCGTTCCAAATGCATACGTACATATACAGACATACATACATACAGACGGGCATACGTCCGTATGTACGTATGTACGTGCATACATACATGCATGCATATATACAACGCACTTGTGGGATGTTTGGTTGTTCAAGCACCTTTGGATCATACCCTTTTGGATCCCCCGCATGTTTTAGTTCTTTGGCACGCCGGCAGGCTGCATTTGAATCTTATGTTTCAAGGCTTGCAATGGGTCGTTGTAGGTGCAGACGTTCTTCTGTATCTCTTTGATCTTGCATGGGTTCCGATTGTTGCCCCACCCTTGTTCTCTCCCAATAGGACCTCCAGAACGCCGCAGTTTGCTTCTGAGGTCATGATGTTGGAGCAGGGTTTCAAGACGCCGACAACAAAGAGCCAAGTTCCAGACCAAACGCGCTGGTCAACCACATAGGTGGCTTCCTACTGGTTTCCTATGTTAAAACCGTCCAAGGGTCCCACGAAATTTGGAGACAGACCTCAGTGGACAAGGGACCTTCTCAAGAGGATGGTCTCACAAAACCTTCCTGTCAAAATTTTGTCAAGGGGATAGTCTGACAAAACCTCCATGATTGCTGGCAAAGAGGGTATGCTAATCTGCCCACCGCATCTGCATGCGTTCCTAGGCGCGCTCTTCTTCAGGAGATCGAGCGCAAGCAGGTCCCTTCATTGTTTCGACTTCGGTTGAATGAAGTTTGCTTCGGCCACCCCGGTTGAACCGCTATTGTTTGAAAAACCCAGATTTGGCTTCCTGATAGTATTTGCTACTCAGACCCAAAAGCAAATGTGCCCAACCCTAGACTGCTGGCTCATCTCCAACAGGCAGGTGCACCCGAGTCCAAGGAGAGTTGGCAGTGCGCGGCAAAGTGAACAGCCCTCCGTTAGAAGGGAAGTGTTGCCTCGGATCCAGGGTTTGCACATTCATCCCTATGTGGCTCAGTCGGGCAGCACAGCTGTCGGCCGATTTGTGACAAGTTTGAGGGAGCAATGCAGCTGTGAGGAGAGAGTTTGCGGGTGCAGCGTGGAAGGAAATTTGAGAAAGGCTGCTCATGCCAGAGAAGAACATCAATGCAATCTGGTGTGGTTCGTCCTTTTTCAGCATGATGTTTACAATTACGCGTTGTAATCTCTCGATATCTGTACACTGTACACAGTGATAAGTTGGCTCGATTGACATGTTGCAACAACGCAGTCATGCGCGATGGAAGACGATCATTGTGGGCGGGTTCCTCTCGGAGCCACATGCTGCCCAAGGAATGTCAAGCATCGCCAATGTTTTGGCTGGGCCAAAAACAAACGGTTCAACTAGACTGCAGGCAGGCACAAAGTTTAACTTTGCGTAGTGTGTTGGCCCAGTCAGTGTTGGATGTGCCTATCTGCATAAGATTCCTTACCAAGTCGGGGGCGTGAGTTATCCCCAGGTGGAGACGCTCCAGGACACCGCGTGCGGGTTCGCGCAATAATCAGGGCACCCTAAATGGGGTCCCATGAGCGGGTTCCAGCTGACTACCAAAGGACGGTAGCATCCTAGGACATTTGCTAGAACCCATTTCGGGTCACCCAAAATCGGTTTTGCAGTTGTTATGTACTCTGCATTGCAGCAGTTCAGAAGCCATGAGTTGATGGGCTAGTCTCTGAGCTTTTTGCTTGGGTCCTGATGCCTTATTCTTCCTATGTCCAACATGGACTGCAACTTTGTACTGTACTTCATAAAAGTGGATGATGTGAACGCAATGCTGGGGCTTGCTAGGACTGTCCTGCATGCAGTATACTTGTATGTGTGCAAGGGCTGAGGATCTTGCACACAACTTTAATCAACTCATAGACAGGTACATGAACTTCCGAACCTTGTTCGCCGCGGCTTCATGTGTGTTGAAGAACATGAAATGCCCGCCCATTGCGGGTCAGTCTTAAGCCGGACAATGACAGGGGCCGACACGTTGGTTGGGGGGGGACTTACACGTTGAAGTCTCATATGTCGCCCGATCGGATGGCCCTTGCTTCATCCCTGGGTCCCAAGCTCTTCGAAGGTCTCATGGCTGCAGTGTTGCAGCACTTGCAGGGCCAGTGGACTGAGCTTTGAGGCATGGTAGGACTTTCGGCGGTTCCCTTTGTTTCCAAGCGCTGATTTCTGTGGCCTGTGGTTCTTGAGAGACAGTCACTGGAGGATGGGTCTGGCATTAGCTGGTCATTTGCCAATCCGAAGGATTGGCCAGCATATCCATTTCTGAAGAAAGAGATTGTTGGAACCAGGTTTCCAACCGGCTTAGCGGGGTTGGACGGCCGAAAGCTATACACTCCATTCTCTGCACAAGTACGACACACCCAGTGGATCCAGTTACCACTATCTCAGTTGTTCAGTGGCACCCTTTTTCCCTTTTATTTGTTGGTGGCTGCCCCACTAAAAATGGTCTTCCCAAAAAAGGGTTCCCTTGTTTTCCAGGGGTCACTGAACAACTGAGTTATAGTAGGGGTTCCGCATCAAGGTTGCCCTTGGTAACTGCATCCACAGAGCCAAGGCTTGGCGTGTACTCGACGTCCGATGTCAAGCCTCAAGCGCAAGCTGCAAACGCAGTGTGCCTGGCCGGGAACTTCGAACAGCGCCATGGGCAGCCAATGCTGTTCCGGGACGTCACCCGATGTGCGTTTCAGCGCCCTGGCTTCCTTGCGATTGCTGGGGCTTTTTTTGCGCAAAGGAGTTTCCAAGGATGGCTTTTGGGGGTCCCTGCTGGTCTGGGGACAGCTTGCTCAGCTTACTGCTATTACATTATACCCATCATTCGCCATCTTCACATATGCTGTTTGGTCAAAATGGCTGGTGTCCGGTAAGGGGCAAAAGAACTAATTTTGACTGTGGCTCATGTGGGTGCCACAGGTTTTAGTCCATGTTTCTATTTACCAGGGCTTCCAAAATGGGTACCTATTTTTGACCCACAGCCATGTCATTTTTTCTGGGCCCTTGGGCACCAAACAGCCACCCGAGGTATTGGCGCCGGCCATGACGACATCGTCAAGGCTTTGGGCAAGGCCTGCGAAGTGGAAATCGGAGACGGGGCGTGTGCAAGCAAGTTTGGTTGGCGAACACGTCGAGACATCAGTGTGTCTGCAACGTATGGCAAAAATGAGACGGATCCAGATATTTCCCTAACGTACAGACTCTGCACATCTTGATGCCAAAAATCGACAGAGCTCCACGTCCAAGAAGAATTGCCTGTGTATGGATCCCCTGCCATATCCCTATTTCCCAATACGTATTGTGGCCACCAAACTTGGCATCCCTTTTCTACGCATGGTTTTCCGGGTAGAATTAACGACGCCATCATCATCATCATCATCATCATCATCATCATCATCATCATCATCATCATCATCATCATCATCATCATCATCATCTCACTTTCTGAGTTCATGAACTTTAAACTTTTTGGGAAGACCATTTTAGTGGTAAACAAAAAGTTTGGACTTTATTTGGGCCATCCACTCAGCCGTTGAGTCGTCATCATCATCATCATCATCATGATCATCATGATCATCATCATCATCATCATCATCATCGTCATCATCTTCATCTTCATCTTCATCTTCATCTTCATCTTCATCTTCATCTTCATCAACAACATCAACATCAACATCATCATCATCATCATCATCATCATCAACAACAACAACAACCACAACCACAACCACAACCACAACCACAACCACAACCACAACCACAACCACAACAACAAGACAGTAGCGACAGCAGCAACAATCTCAGCAGCAATGCCATCGACAACACCACCAGCACCACACACACACAGCAGAAGCAGCCATTTTAAGCATTGGCGCCATCTGCAAAAGCAACAGCGGCAGCAGCACGGGCATAAGCAGCAGCATTAGCAGCAGCACGAGTGTCAGCATGATTGCATCAGCGTTAGCATTCGCATCAAAAGACGTCAGAGCAGCGGCAGCGGCGGCAGCCGCCCCTGCCACTGCCGCCTGACTGCGCAGACTCCAGCCATAGCAACAACGCAAGCGTTTGCTTTGTGATCGCAGGCAGCTGAACCAGCACACTTGGAACATGTTTGAGCTTGCGGATGGTTTTCTGAAGGTTGGGGAGGACGCTGAGATGGCCGCCGTGGTCGCGGGCCTTGCGAAGATCGTGCATGAGCATCCGTATCTGAAACCCATGGGACGCCTGGAATGCATCCGTCGCGCCATGTCTCTTTTTCTGTCTTTTTTGACATGTGGCTCAGTTGTGAAGACGCAAATCACACCTTTGCTTCATGGGAACCTTGGAAGATCCCGCGTGCTCCTTTACTAGAGGTAGTGCAAGCCACAAAATGCATGATCTCCACTCAACAAAAACCAGCCGTCACCCGTCCCTTGTTCAGAGGCCTGTCCGTTTTGCCTTCTGAGTCATTGCTTTTTTTGTGGGTTCCAAAATGCTACAGGTCAGCTTTTGACATCACCCCTTGACAGGTCAACATGGCTCAGGCAGAAGCACAAGGCAACAGGAGACCAAAGCTGCTTGGAATTGGTGTTGGGCTGCTAGCTTCGTGGTGTGGTTTCTCACGGCAACACTTTGGTCCTCCCCCGTCTTCCGGTATCGGTTGGGGTGGTTGGGCCGTGTTTAAGTCTCTAGCTCTTGTCCAGTCCAATTGTAGACGTAGATTCCGGAGGACTGGAGCCCTCTCAAGGTGCTGCACTTCAGTGGTTTGACATTGGGGGGTGGCGATTGACCAGGAGGAGATGGCCAATGATTCGTGCCTCCAAGATCTCCAGAATGAGCTGACCACGTGTTGCCATTTTGAATAGGAGGATCAGGGTTTTCAATGCTGGATGGAGGATACAGCTGGGCCGACAACAACAGAAGGGTTGAGAGAAAGTCATGCAGAGGCCTTCTTTGGAGGATCTTTCTCTGGGCCAATGACAGCAACCTAACTAGATCATAAGCAAGACTCATACCGTCCAACACCGACGCTCATGATTCAGGTCAAGCGAATATAAGGATTCGCTGGAGCTCACGTGTCGCTGCACCCTCCCCCAGGAACAGAGCGGGCGCCGCACCATCTGCTCTTTTGGGTGCGGAGCTGTCGAGAAGCGGTCATTGCCAACCACATCGAGGCACAGTTGCCAGAGCCACGATCAAGACCCGCAAACATGAAGGTTAGTAGAGGGACATAGGGCACTAGGAGGACCATCCCGACTCGGGGTGTCCTCATACCGTAGTTGGTTATGTCTTTGTGTGTTGTATTGTGAACGGTGTAGCCCTGGTCGACAGTAGAAACGACTTCCGCTTTCTGAACAAACATATGCCGTTCAGATACTGGACATTGAATGTTACAAGGGGGCTCACTCCAGAGATGCGTTTAGTTGGTGCGTGGCTTGACTGAATTCTTTGCGATTCGCTTTTCGGTTTTGAGACAGCAAACGACAGGGGAGTGCATACTGCCAAAAAGTCAAGCCTGAGCATTCAAAGCTATTCATAGTGTGCAACAGTATGTACACGTACCATGGTTTTGGTTTTTTACTGTATATATATATATATATATATATGTGTAAATGGGTACCCATATGATTATAGGGCCTTTTTCAAACCGGATTTTGGTGATGGCTTACCCCGCGCTTGACCAGCGTTTGCCAGGGGTGTATTTCTGCAGGATGAAAACATATGAGTGCACCTGTAGTTCAGGTGTTGCGCTTGATCATCTCCTTTTGTCAGCATATCTAGACAAGACTAGTTGTGTGGCATTCATGTGTAGATTTGTTTTTGGTGGGTTTGGATCATTGGCTGCGACCGCACTGCTCATGGTGGTTGGATGAATATGACCGATGAGCGATGGACTTTAACAGAGATCCTTCAGAGATGGTTGGTGGATGTAAGTCAAGTCCACCAAAGGGTGCCTACTCAAAGCTCACACCCAGTTTTGCGTGGCAGGACGCGAAAGGCTACCTTGAGCGAGTGCATCGCGGCAAGTGAAGGTGGGTTCCTGGCAAGGCCGTTGTTTCGCGAATCGATTAATCTATCTGCGAGTGGTTCGTGACGAGGGGGAGGTTGTGACCGTGCCAATCTCTCCTTTCTCGGGGCTTCCTTATGTTTGGAGCAAGACATGGCTCGGGTTGACCGGATCGCATAGACCTTTTGCTCGGGGGGTTGGTAACCCAGAGTGAAAGATGGTGAATGGGCACGACAAACAAATGAAGTGGCTGATGTTCTCAAGCTGTCAACTTCCAAGGGTGGCACGGATCAGGATCGCAAGGAGAATGAGCTTGATCATGTGGGCGATAATCAAGATCATGATGCAGAGGCAGACCCAGGCAAGTATTCACAAACTGATAGACATCCATGCAGATGCTGAGCAGACGCAGATTTAGGTACCGACGATCGCAGATTTAGTACTTACAGTTGATGAAACTTCACCCGTCAAATCGATGCTCTGATGGCACCACTCACAGTGGTTTTCTCGGACACTGGCGGCATCTCCAACCTCCAAACAAACTACGGGGAGCCTACCCCGTTCTCAAATCATGAGGCTCATATAGTTTTGTGCGTAGGAGGAAAACCATGTATAGCCAGGCATGTTGGGTGGGGATCAGCTAAGGCAAACGAGCTTGAACTACGAGATGGCGCAGGTCGATGACTCTTTCCGCCGCTTCGACGTGGATAAGTCTGGGAAGCTGGACAGCAAGGACCTGGGAGCGGCCAAACTGACACGATCGCACTACTCTCTTGAAAGGCCAACGAGCTGTCCACCTTCATTTGGAAAGAGGGTGCCTTCTTGGAACAGTGTTTGGGCTCCCAAAGTATGCAGCTTGGAGGTATGCCAAGCTTTGCACAATGCAGATTGCAAACCATTCACCTGGGACTGAGCCTTCTGCAAGACCAGAACAAAGGTCCGACATTGTCTTGTTTGCCCCTCGAGACCCGCACGGTCATGGCGTTGACTGCTAGCTACCTTGTGTTGCCACAACTTCAAGGGGATACCAACAAGGGCCCCTCATTCTGGCAACCAACTCCGCCGTGGATAGTTGCAGCAAAGCTTTGCAGAGGCGACCGCTGAGTTGTTGCCTTGCCTTGACTTTGTACGGAGAGCCTGGCAAGCACTACATTCGTGAAGAGTGCAATTACTTTTTACTCGGAAGGCTACAGAGCAGCGGCAAAACTTGCTTACATGAAGTCATTTGTTCCACTTGAGGATGTGCGGAACATCCACGGACATCACACCTTGCAAGGCAAGGCTGAGAAGCCAGATTCAACGGCAAGGGCAGAAGGTCATAATTCGGCCTCTCGCATGATCCACATGCGTCATGTCAGCAGCATTTGGGAAGCACCACGTGGCTTGAACGCGCGCATGTGTTTTTTTTTCGTTCTGTGGCCAGGGCGTGGGGCGTGAATTCAAGCCTTTGGTCTAGATGCTGCTGGAAGCCAAGCCCGTGTTGTGAATGTTGCATGGACAATGCATAGTCCTTCATGGGACAGGGGCAACCTGACTTATAATCCTCTTACCAAGCCATCCAAGCGCTTCTATTTGGGCTGGTTGGCTTCCGAAGCCGAGGGCTTGTTAATCTGGGCATGCCGCGGACCTGGACATGGGATGATTCAAAGATGTAGCCTTGCGATTTGTTTGCGTGTGGCGCATGCGCGTTCCGTTTTGTGGCATGCGTGTTTACCACAGTTCTAGCACAATTCGAACGGCAAGCAAAGAGCCCGTGATCGTTATCTAGCGACAATGCCCGAGAACATGTCATAGTATTGTTTTTCTCCAAGATGAGTCCTTCCACATTTGTGGCTGAGTTGCCTCAAAACTCGGCTTCCGGGTGGCCGCGCAGGAATTCGTGTATATGTGCGCCTACATTGGCTGGGGCGAGGAGGAAGCGAGCATGACGCCTGGATATGCAAAGTTAAGGAGTCGATCCTCTTAGTGCGCCAACAACTTGATAGCCAATTATTGTTCAGTAGCACCCTTTTTGCCTTTTTCTTTGGTTTTTAGAATCCAATCATCAACACAGCATCCCTTTTCACACTGGGCAACTAGGCCACCTGGTGTCATTGTAGAGAGTGGGGAGCCTATGAATATTCCAGGCGTTGTTTTAGACTGAGCGTCTTATGGAGCGTGGACGTTCCGAAGTCACTGCCTTCTGGAAACGTAGGATGGAGTAGCAGGGGGTCCCAGTGCTTTTCTCATGTTGGGCAATCAGCTCACGAAAAGGTAGAGGGTATCCGTTTTGTCGCGGGAAGTGTTTCTTGTAGCAGGACATTGCGACACCGCTACTCTCAGAAAGAGGTTCTCAGAACCCTTCTAACAACCCCTAAGATGGCATTTGATCCTGGGTCGGGATGTTAGGTTTCCTGCCTACGAGTGATGAACTTTCCTTCCGATGGCTCAGCGGCTTGACAAAAGCAGAAAGGATTTCGCTTGTATGGCCAGTGGCATGGCACCAATCAATTAATGGATGGCTCATTCCACAGCTTTGGCTTTGGTTGTGTAAGTTAGGTTATCCAACTTTTTCCGCCAGAATGCTAGGTTTGGCAGTGATTGTTTTCATTGGTGTTTTCTCAAAGTAGTAGACCCCTTGCTGGTTAGTAGTTCAAGGAACTATCCATTTTGGGCGCGTCAAATTGCTCATTGCTTCCATCGGTTTGTGTAAAGCCCGTCATTGTTCATGAAGGGCCGATTGCTTGGACGTTTCCGCATCATTGGAAGCATTAGATACGAAACGGCTTGCAGACATACTTTTGTGTTCCAGCCGCTACGACTGACGTAGGAGACGGGTCATGAAAAGCGGACACCGCTCACCTCAGGATGGATGTGGACAATGATTGCTTCGTCACGCTCGAAGAGCTCCTTTGCATATAAAGAAGCAAACCCATGCGCAGCACATTGCCATGTTTTGTTTGGCACCTCCCAAAATAACGATTGCCCTCCTTGAACCACCGACACGGCAACCAGAGACAACCTTTACAGGAAAATCCGTGGTGCCGAATGTTGGGAGACCCCGGTTGAATCAGACATAGCGGCCAAGGGGGAGGACGACACCCAACAAATTGGCGCCCAATTTCAGGAATCATGATTGTTAACAATTTGCAATGGTTCTATCCCTGAGAAGAGCACAGTAGCGGCTTGAACAAGTATTCGTGGAGGAGTTTCTGCTTGAGCGCCTGAAAAAGAGCAACCCAGCATCGCATGGGTGACTGTTAAGAATGGGAATATATGTTTAAGCTTTCATGCTTTTGTGTGTTTCACCTCCGTGACAGGACGAACGGACTCATCAGAATCATTCAGAAGCTTGTTTGCTTTTTTGTTTGAGAGAGTGTATAGTCGGGGCCTACGCGTGCTAAATTGACATATTTATATTATGAAGCTGCCTTGTTCGTTGTAGTTGGCCCGTGCAAGCCAAATGTCAGCATATGTTTGTTTTGGTTGGCAGCAACTCTAAGACAAGTCTATGAACCGCCGATGCATGTGTGTTGCAGGCTGTACGCGTTTTGGCCACCCTCAAAAGGGCCATGCTCCAAATGGACAAGGGTTCATACGTACATGGACAATGCAAGGTACAGTAGTACAGTACATACCCCACAAGCAAGTCTGACACCATACGCATGGCTAGTTTGTACCATTTGAGCAGGAAGACCAACCAGAAATAGGGGGCAACAATAGGGGACTCTCCAACAGGCAAGTGCAGCAGCCCTTGTGATTACGACATGAAGTGACCCAGGAACGCAGTTTCAACACGGATTTGTTGTGACTTGTTTGGGCCAAGCACGGTGGAAACCGAAGAAACCATACTTGCATTTGCCTTCCCACAAACATGGCCTCTGACAGGGCAGGAGCCTTTCAAGAGGAAGTGTGCCAGGTACCCTCCGACAGGTGCCCTTCGTACGCGGGAGGCAGGCTATGCATTTATTCGGTTGTTCCCATTCCGAATTATGTATTTGTTTGTTTTTTTCAACACACAGCCCTTTCCATGCCCTAACCCATCCCTGAACCACCCCGAACCCCAGCCATTCCACTTGACTGGTCCCGCTTGACCGCGAGGTTCCGCCACTTCGTGGGGGACTCCGGAGGCTTGCAGGCGCTCTTCGAGCACCGCCGCCAGCGGGTCGCGCGGAAGCAGTGGGGCGTGGAGGCGCGCGTCTCCGGAAAAGCCGCCGCGGGTTCGCTTCGAAGTGCACGGCTGTCTGACGATTCCCCGGAAGGCTTCGGGTCCACAAATGCTTTTGGTAAAGGTACCGTTTTCATTCCGATGGACGAAATCCATTTCGCACCACCTAAGCAACCATGGAATGATTCGATTCCCCTGCAAATACCAAAGAGCAATGGTTTAATCCCATGGTTTTAAAGTGGTGCGAACGGATTTCCTCCACAGTTTCTGTTTCCAGACTTGCTGTGGCCAGATATTTGGTCTATCCCAGCAATCGTAGGGTTTCGTCCATCCCAACTGCAGGATTTGTGTCCATCCACAGTGCCAAGGCCAGGGCCACGCAAAACCAACTAGGGCGAACCAATGCCAAACAATGCAGCAGCTACATTACAACCTATCCACAGATGAGAGCGATGGTTCTTCTATTTTGAGGAGTTGACTACCCACCAATCCCGCTCCCAGTTTGGTTTATTTTAGGGTTCCCAAGGGGGTATGTTGGGGAGTGTGTTTTGGGGGTCCCTTAGTGGGGGTGACCTCCTTCCTTGTTTGGTTGGCTGCAAACTCACATTTGACTTGATTATGACGGGTAAGTGTTGAAATTGTGGTTGGCACTGGAGACAGGTGGAATTTCAAGAGAAGCTGCTGCATGGCATAGACCCTGTCATGGACATTTAGCAAGCTTCCTAGATGGAAGTGCAAAGGTCATTGGCATGCCATGATTCGCTGGTCATTGTGCTTTCAGGGAGTTTCCATAGTTTTGGTCCCTGGCCAATAAACTATTTGTGTTGCAGTGTCCAGTTCTTCGCAAGCAGTTCTGTTGCAAAAGAAGTTGGGATGGACAAAACCCTATGACTATTGGTTGATCAACCACCTACCAGTAGCAACTGGTGCCTTGGCACGGCTGTTGTCCATCCAGGATGCTCACAGCGCTCGTCTCCTGTCTCATTCAGTCGCTCCTTCGGCCACCCACCAGGCACCTTCGGTCCTGGAGATCGGGGCGCGAGTGCGGTCCTACTACACCATGCCAGATGGGCGCCTTGGCAGGATCCTTTCGAGGTGCCGTTCTTGGGCGGAAGGGCAACATCAAGGAAGCTGGACAGTTGTGGGTTGAGGCTTTCTGGTGGGGCCAGCATAAAAGAGAGCATGGAACCTTTGCCACCTTTCTTACCTATTCTACTAGTTTTTAAGTGTGAGAAAGTAGTCACGTAGTCCCGATCCGATCAGGCGCGACCATATTGTTCAGGTATGAATGCAAGTCATAATCATTGCTTTTCAGTGTCAACATTTGGCCACTTTCAATCTCAAGTGAAGTAGACAACCATGCTGCAAGTACTATGGAACAAACTGGTTGTGGCTCACTTGCACTCCTTAGTGGCTGGGTGTCAGAGAGTGGCTGGGTGTCAGAGAGCTTGGTGTTAGAGAGTGGCTGGGTGTCAGAGAGCTGGCTGTCAGAGATTGGCTGGGTGTCAGAGAGTGGCTGGCTGTCAGGGATTGGCTGGGTGTCAGAGAGTGGCTGGGTGTCAGAGAGTGGCTGGGTGTCAGAGAGTGGCCGGGGGACAGAGAGTGGCTGGGTGTCAGAGAGCTTGGTGTTAGAGAGTGGCTGGGTGTCAGAGAGTGGCTGGCTGTCAGAGATTGGCTGGGTGTCAGAGAGTGGCTGGGTGTCAGAGAGTGGCTGGGTGTCAGAGAGTGGCCGGGGGACAGAGAGTGGCTGGGTGTCAGAGAGTGGCTGGGTGTCAGAGAGTGGCTGGGTGTCAGAGAGTTTCTGGGAGTGGGGTGTCAGAGAGTGGCTGGGTGTCAGAGAGTGGCTGGGTGTCAGAGAGTGGTTGGGTGTCAGAGAGTGGGGGATTCGCAGTATGTCAACACTTCAGCAACTCGTGGAACAGCAATTATACGTGGTTGGAAACAACATGGTATGGACATCAATGACATCAACCTAACATATAAACGTTCATTCGTGTGACATACAATGCGCGCCTAGCTTGGCGCACCATTGCTATTGCATGAGTGCCAGGCTACTACAGCTCAAGTACTGCCCTTTTTTGGAGGTAACATTAGATATGGTGACGTGCGGTTTCCTTAGAGGCTTCTTCGCTGCCCAGGAAGAAGTCCGCACAGGTGAAAGAGGGCCAGGTCTTGGAACTGCGGGTCATGCCCAACAACGGAGCCGCTCGGCTTCGGCTGTGCGCAGCCTCGGAGCGCTGGCTGCGGATGAAGGTTTGACGAAGTCAGCCTAGAAAGTTGGCGGCTTGATGTTTGCTTGCGAGTTGGCTTGACTTTGGCAGCTTGCCAGCAACTGAATTAACTTGAAAGGGCTACAGATCAGCCTAGACCGGGGTGAGCCCAATGGGGAAGGAGGAGTACAGCCATCTTCTTCTGTCATCGTCACAATTGTTTGCATGCATTCCAGAAGCAAACATCCCTTGGGGAAGCCCCGAAGACTCGCTACATTTGCCGTATTGGAGAAGCATTCCACAAACGGTGTAGAGCTTTGTGTTTCGGCGGTGCGGCCTGTGAACTTGTGCTGTTCTGCGTAAACAAGGCCAAGCAGCCAGTGTGACCTTCTTGCGGATGTGGCCAGGGGATTTGTCGTGCCGTGCTTTCGAAGCACCACAGGTGAGACATGCCCCACTGTGTGGTCCTTTTTTGACTTTGCAAGCTAGTACAACCCCTGGTATTTGGTGAGCATGTGCCAGCGTGCTGTAAATGTACCTGTAGCTGTTTTTTTAGACGTGCCCTTTAGCTGTCCTGTGTGCTAGGCAGCTGATCGGAGAATGGCTTGTGCATGAGCAGTCATGAATGATGTTGTTGTTGATTACAGCCTTTACTTCTGACAAGAATCTTTTGAGGAAGCTATGAGATGGCATCAGTTGCTGACAGGCATGTGTGTGTGTGTGTGTTTGCCGTTGGCGCTAGAACCACTGCACGATCATCTTTGCTCTCAGTAAGTGGTCAATCTAGCTACCGCACTCAACGACGTGTGTTGGACACGTGGCCCAAAAAGTGACACATCTGATTGCGGACTAAGCCATGCAAAACCCACCAATCCCACACAAACTAACTCACATGACAAACTCACATGAAGGATCTTCCCTGCATAGAGGCATAGAGCTGCGTTCGCCATGCTTTGACAGCCTCGTGTCTCTCTCTCTCTCTCTCTGATAGGATTTATTGTTGCGTATTCCCGAATGGACGCGAATAAGGCTGGCTATTTGTTGTAGTGAATGCAAGCACACGCATGCATGCAAACATACATACATTGACATACGTACTTACGTATGTACATACATCTCATACATCTACACATCCATACGCCCATACGTCAATACAGCCATGCATCAATCCATCTATCCATCCACCCATCCATCCATCCATCCATCCATCCATCCATCCACCCACCCACCCACCCATCCATACATACATACATACATACATATGTATATATATATATATCATATGCGTTTACACATTCCATATATGAATGCACTTTTGTGTATATAAACATATCGCAAACAGACAATGAGTGCAGAGCAAACCTCGCAGGGAGGCTCACATTATTCAGTTGCAGTTGATACTGGAACAACGCAACCTGAACGGTTGCTCACTTCAGAGCAACTGAACAAGAAGCATTGTGACAATATCGCGTTGTGCGAGCTTTGGACACATACTGTAAGGACAATAAATACTTTCGACGGACCCGCTTTCGGCTTGCGCTGAAGAGTTAGAAATTTGTAACGACGCAAACAAGCTATTTTGGTGCTGGCCCATTTCAGAATAGAAACACATTTCTCTATGTTGCGTGTGGAGTTACTGTGGTTCGACGGGATGACAGCACAGGTCTTGATCGACTTCGTAGATCCGGAGAAGCAGGCTGGCAGCAGCCGCCAAGCGCCTTGGATGGATATGCGAAAGGATCTTTATTGGCTTGAACCCCAGAAATCCGAGTTGCGGCGAATCGAACGGTTGTTTGTTTTCCATTTGTGTTGCCCATGATTGAGCTTCCTCGCTGCGGAGTTGGAAGGTACGGGTCAGGAACCGCCCGCTGTTCATGGGAGGAATCGCACTGCCCGTTTGGGGACGAGTCCCGGCCCACCTAACTGTCGCAAGTCTGCTGGGGCCGGGCACTCTTCTGCTGGATTTAGGGTGCAGGCTTTCCGGCTTAGGATATTCGGGCTCCAAGAACTCATCGGTGACGAGATGTGGTCAGTTTGTACTGTAGATGTGTTTGCCACAAAGTGGAGAACCTCGATGTTGGCAACCAACCGGACAAAGCATCCCTGGCCTGGACCAGCTCTCACGCACTGAGACATGACAGCCACATCCACGGGAGCGGCTCATTTCAATGGAGAAACATTGGGTGTCTTACATTTAGTACAATATACGGATGACACACGGATCCCTAGTTTGTGTGTTGGGAACACTTAACATTGTGAGTCAAAAATGCTTTGCAGACTGGACCATGCGTTTGGCTTTTGAAGCCGCGCCAGCCAAGTGACCCAACTCATTTCGGGATTTGTCTTTTCAGACGTGGCAAACCACCAAACAAGTTTAGCTTATCAAACGAAGGAGTGAAAGGCTTACGAGTCAACCTGAAGTGGCACGCTCCATGTGCTTTTGCTGTTTGAGGGTACCCCTTCTCAAAGAACTGAGGCACATCGTAGATGTATATATATATATATGTATTATAATGTATGTATATATATATATGTGTGTTTATACATACATGTGTATGCATATACATATCTATACATACATGTATTTGAATATCTGTATATGTATATTTATCTATATATATATATGTATGTATAGCACCCCGCGTTATATACCACAAACTGGAGCCCTTGTGTGGGTAGAACACCTCCAGAGGAGCGCGAAACGAGGTGGTGCCTCAGAGCTGGATCTTCAGCGACACCCGCGACAGCGACGTGGTGTCTGCGCTGCGGGAGGTTGGGATCCTCGAAGACCAGCAGGCGGGCACGACTTGGCATAGGTGTCCTTTTTGGTTTGGCCGAAAAAAAGTTGATTCCTTTGTTTGGTGTCCTTTTTAGAGGGCGACTCCTTTTTTTGTTTTTACCTGGTTCAATCATCTACCAGGGCCACCTATTTGACGAAAAAAGGACACCTGTGCTCATTGGTGTCCAAAAAGGCTTCGGTTTGGTGTCCACGGCTGCCAAGTTCCATCTGCGGGTTGATTACTCAGAGGTTAGCAGTACACCGCACCACATCCATTTGTTGAAAAGAAGAGTTTATTGTTATAATCATATTCTCCCTGTTTGGTTTTGAGGGAAAGCCATCACTAGAAATATGTTAGATTTGTTTGGGGGGGCTTAGGCAAATGGAAGAAAGCCAGTATGTTCAGGATAATGTGAGCCACTTGCTCAAAACCCGGGTAGATGAAGATAAAAGGATACTGTGATCCCAGCCGCGACTCGGTTTCAAAAGTCTTGCAGGTGCGAGCAGGGAATGACAACGAGTTTGGGTGTTGGGAATGAACCGTTTGGGGATTCCGGAACAAAGGATACCAAATCGGATGGATGGTTTTCCCGGGGTCATTCCATTGTTCATGCCCCAGCAGGAAACTATATGCTCAGGATAGTGTGAAGAGGCTGGTCCAAGTCGCAGCATGGCTCCAAGGATATAAATGGAGTCTGCCACAAAATCAACCCCTTCTCAAGAACTTGCCGTTTGTCCAATGATAGCAGTGGATCGGGGGATCCCCAAGAGCAAACTCGTCTTCCAACACCCTGTCAGCTTCCATGATAGTTGGAGGGATCAGGGTATATTTTGGAATAGACTAAATTTCAATGAGAATCCGAACATCGCATTCTTCCCAGAGCTTCCTCGGCCTGAGTAACTTAGGCCTTTTGTCAACGGCCGTAGACACCCCGTAAAAAGCCCGTAAAAAGGACGTAAACAGCCCGTACAAAGGCTGTAAAAAACCTCCGTGTTTAAACGGCCTCCGTAACTCAGGCCTTTGGACTCCCTGGGCTTTGTGGGATTGCTTCTTCTGTGTTCATGCGGGAGGGGGTTCCCTTTCAAGTTAACCACCCCCAGCACGAAAGCGTGTTTTTCCCCTATGGGGTCGGGGAGCTGAGAGTTGTGAGAATGGGGGTCGTCTCCAGCCAAGCCACTGACTGAGACATGGTCCGGTTTGGTGTTTATGGAGACTTGGTTCTCCGGCTTGACCTCATGTTGAGGAGAAATGCCCCAGTCCCAAGCCACTTCGGAGTGTGTTGCCATGACGAAGGATATCATGATGGGCATTTTGCCCACCCACATCAAACAATTTACGGGCTGACAAAGCAAACTTCAAACCTTCCTTTTGTCTGCAAAGGTTCAGGGAATCTCCACTGTCTCCCGTACCCACGTGTTATGTCCGAGCTGTTGTTGCAAGCCATTCATTCAATGGACACCAATCCGCATAAAGCCTCTGGCAAAAAGCAGGAAGACTCCAATCCCATTCACACCATGGCGGAGTCAGCCGCATTTCTCTTCGCCGCAGGCGTTCTGGGCTGCCATCTTTCCTGAGTCCGAGATGCGAGCTGTGGCCGCTCGCCTGAAAACGCAGCCTTTGAGGCGGCTCCCCAAGGGAGGCGTGAACCTGCGTTCGCGCTATCTGAGTTTTTGTGTCAGTGACATGGCCAACACGCGGTGAAACCAAACACATATCGAAGGCAACAGCTTGTGAGAGCAGCCAAGCTGGCGAAGACACGAGCATTTACTGCGTGAGGTTCTTGAGGAGAAAGCTAATCTGGGTGCGCCACGACTTGAGAGTCCTGATGAGTCTGCTGATATTTCCTGATTTGCCTCTTTCAAGTCTGGGTATCTCCAACTTTTTGTGCACACGGCATGCCAAATGCTAAATGATTGCAAGATACACTTTGCTGACCGCATGGTTCTAACATGGCGAGTTCCCTCTTACTGGTGTAGGACTGTTGTGGGTCAAGCTGGCACTGCAGTGCCTGTTTTTGTGTCTTGTTTGCGATGTGCATGAGGACCCTGCAAAAGGCCCGGCATCCTTCTGGGTCGCCATTGGGTTGCCTTGGAGCCAGGGGATGCTCGATTTCTGACTTTGAGATGTAAAGTGATGTGGCGAGGAAGGTCTGGGAGGGGATGGGTTTGATAGTTCACACTTCGCGGCATTGTCTCTTCACCTTGCAGCATGATTGACTGTTCCTACACTCGGCCGGATTGTCAGAAGGAACACCAACCATTCAGAATAAACCAGAATTCCCACTTCAGTACCCAAGTTACAAAAGCATCACTGAGATTTTGCAGTCCATGGACAACTCCAAATGTCCCACAACGGGACTCTGCGATTCTCCCACAGGGCTCTAGGGGTTGATTCCCCATTCTTTTCAACCATCGTTCTTTTCAAAGACTAGCCGTTTTCCCTGGGTTTCCGGAGGTTTTTCTAGAAAGATTCGGATCCCTGGAAAGGATGGAAATGGAAGGTACCCCTATGGCGCCAGACTGCGGCCAGTGCGACCACCCGCGCTCAGGAGAAGCTGGCGCCCTGCCAGCGGGCGGCCCTGCAGCACGTGCGCGCCAACGCCTCGGCCAGCCACGAGGCGAGCGGCGCGATTTCGTTGAGCCGCGGGCAGGAGGGCAGGCGCTCAGGAAGGAATCCAGGTGCAAGAAGTCAACTTTTGCTGTGCACCGGTGTTGTGTTGTTCAACATGTTCAACTCTTGGACAGTGTGCTATGGTTGGTATTGAAAGGCCCTATGCGGAAAAAGAGATAGCTGGCTGTGCGGCTAGCGCAAGGCCCCGCAGTCTCCTCGGCAAGATAGAACTTTTTGTTGCTTGTCGGGGTGCAAGCAGCGCGACCTAGGCTGCCTCTCATAAATGTGTTTCTAGCTCATGTTCTGGGCAATCCCACTTCTTGACGTCTCTGCAGCTCTTTCCTTTGCGTGTGCCCCAGGGTCCCACTTGCTTACCGCTGTTTTGCTCCTCTTTGCTGCCATCAGGGCATCTTGCCTGGCGTCAACCCTGTCCACCCCCACCGTCTTTCTTCGCTTGAGCACGTTTAGCACGCCAGATTTTGCCCGCCTCCCCCCGGCCCCCCCCCCCACTCCGCTATTGCACTTCTAAGTCTTGCTTCCGCCCCACGCCGCGGGACTTGCCTTGCCTGGAAGCTGACCACGCTCCGCAACACTATGTGTGCGACACTGAACTATTCAATTGGCCTGAATTCTGGTTTGAGGGTCCAAAAGCCATGGAAGATAACACAATAGGCAGCGTATTTGTGCAGATACAATATGCCAACAATGCTGCCTTCGCATTCTTGATTTTCAGATTTGCAGTTCACCAGATCCTCCTGCTCCTCCTATTTTAAGGGCCACGTTCTGTCATACATGGTATCGCAGACACAGGCCCATTTTCCACCACCATGCCTCCAAACCAAAGTGGAAACCACCATTTTATGTTTTTTTTTTTTTTTTTGTGGGGAGGGTTATGTGTAAGTCAATTCTGATAATACAAGAACCCTGCCCCCGAAATGGCGAAACACTTTGCCCCCGAGTTGGTTGTCGCAACCTCACCGACCCGGAGTTCACTGAAGAGAAATTCTGGAGTTGGTGAGTGGCTTGCTCAGGGGAAATTCGGGTTTGACATTACCTCAAAACATGCAGGCATGGACAAGAAGAAAGTGAGCTGTTCTAGGGGTACCTTCCCCATTCTTTCCATGGATCCTTTTCAGGAAACCATCACAAACCCGGGGGACAGTCGGTTTTTGAAAAGAACGATGGTTGAAAAGAATGGGGAATCAACTCCTAGAGCTGTACGCCCTGAGACTGGGGACGCGCTTCAGGGCGCACATAGACAACCCAAGCGCGAGACAACCCGCGCGCGGAGCGGCGGAGGCCGCGCTGCCGGCGGTCCGGGAGCGCTTCGGGAAGTTGGGCTACTCCGAGGCGGAGCTGCAAGCCTGCGCCTGTGCTTCCGTTGGAGTCAAGTTGACACATGCTGACCCCCAACTCAGATCCTGAGTTCATGGACTTTAGACTTTTTGGGTTTGGACCATGTTAACAATAAGCGAACAGGGTTGTTTTTGTTTTTGGCCAATCCGCTCAGGTTTTTGAGCCAACATGGGGGAACATGAATGTGTGTTGCCTAAACTGGGGTTGCTCTCCTCATCCGCCGTCACCTGAACAAGGATCGCATTTGGTTCCTGGCTTGCAGCGTGACTTTTGATATTGAGTCTTTCAGGCACATGGAAGCATGACTTACCAACACGGCGACAACCCTTCAAACTGAGAACATGGAAAAGCTTGATGGAACAGCCAAGTCAAGGTGATGAGACGTTTACTGTATCAAGCAAAGTTTCGCACATATAGAGGCACACTGGGCAATATGAAAGACTTGGAACGCGGCGCAACGTGATACATCATACAGACACCATCATCAGGGTATTCGACTCTTTCAAACTCATGATTTCCTATTCCCCAAGTTCGTGATATTTTACCACCTTACCCATACTTTTGCAGCGGTGTCCTCGCTGAATCAAGAGTTCTAGCCCAACATTGACAGATATTTGGTTGCAGGCAGGATTGGCACCTTTCTGGTGTTCAAGCATGGACTTTATAATGGCTACCTCACTCAACAACCAGCTTTGTCAGCTATACTTGACTGGCATTCAGTTGAGATAATGTTGATTTTGCCGGGGCAAACACGCCATTTTGGACAGTTGACTGGATTGCTCCGAACCGGATGTGTCCGATGTTCTGCCTTTGGAGCCCCTCGGATTTCTGAAATCCGAGGTTTGGGCTGGATCCAGGACTTGGCACCCACTGTGGTGCACATCCACATTGACAGGGCGCCCCTTCCGCGCTTTGTGGGGTTTCGTTTCGCTTTTTGCGCTGGCGTGGGGCGCAGTGGTTTGTTTTCTGGCCTTTTGGGAGGTGAGACCCTGTTTGGGGGGATTTGATTTTGAAGAGAACAGCAAGGAAGCGGGCCACGCCGGGTTGGGAAGACAGACTTTGCTCAAATTGAGAGTCTTGTTTGAAATTGACCGAACCTGAGGAATGAAGGGACTTAGTTGCTTGGGTCCGCGACGCAAAAACTGTCACATCGACAATTTGCAAAACGGTTGTTCTTCCGGGCATGCACCCAACTCAAACTCGCCACAGTCAACAAGGAAATGCGATTTGCATTGTTGTTTTCTCCGAGGAAACCTAAAGCGCTGACCAAGTAAAATGGAATCTGCAAAGTGATCCAATGAAATGTTGGTTTTGTTTGAACAAAAAATGGCATTTCCAAGACAACTTCACCAACTCATTTTATGGTTTAGTCCATACGAAGTCGGGACTCAGATAGTTTGGTGGCAACTAGAACTGTTTACTTAAAACAAGTATCTGCGCGTAACTATTTGTGGACGTTGCGCTGTTTCTTGGTTTGGTTTTTCCTCGGTGTGTTTTCCCAGGCATCCCTTTTGAGTCAATCCCTGGTCATGACACCCCCTCGCCTGGCTTTGGGATAGCAACCAGTGGGATTCCATCCAAATAGACACATGGTTTGTTCACCGCACATGGATCGATACCCGGCTTCTGGGGTCAGGTCAGGGAGCAGGACCCTTCCAAATAGTTGTATTGAACAGAACACCATGCGACATCCCTTGCTTGCCCCACTTGACCACCAGTTGATGGCTGTCAAGCAAGACAATCATCTGATGGTTTTCTGAACCCCGCCCTTGCAGTGGTGCCCCTCGGTTGTCCTTCTTTTTTGAGGAGGGTGTCCCTTGAAGTCAACTACCTTAAGAAGGTGCAACTGCCCTCAAAAAGGTGCCCTTATTCCCATGGCCAATGGAACGGGACTGACGGACTGCGCACAACGCCCTGCAGGTGGGCCGCTTCATGGAGACGGACGAGTATTACAGGCTCGCGTGAAGAAAGCCTCGGAGGGAAGTGGGCTCGACCTAAAGTACGGTGGATGGACGAAATTCATTTCGCACCGCTTTGAAACCATGGGAAACCGTTGGTTATTCACAGGGGAATACCATGGAATACCAATTCCGGCATTTCTTAGGTGGTGGATTTCGTCCATCCACAGTAGGGCACCCTGAGCAAAAGACACACTCAAAAGGGCACCCTGAAAGAAGCAACACCGAAAGCACGCTCAAATGGCCGTTAGGTGATGGATGCCCCTTTACGAGTCGTGTTTACAGATGTAGGCCCCCTGTCAAATCATATCCGTGCACAAGAAGGTTCAAGTATTCCGCAGTAAATGCATTTGCCACTACGTACTTGAGCCCAAATCCGGCAATTCCAGCAAGCGGTGCATTTCTAGCCGGGTAGGCTCAGTGGGCAGCAATATGTGCGTCGAGCTCTTAAGCGCATGTTGGCAGGGCTCGCATGGCGCATGGCTCGGGTATACGTGGGATCTTTAGTCTTGATCCAGAAGAAAAGGATAGTGTGTTTAGAGCAACTTCAAAGTTTCAGGCCCTCATTTCGACCCATCGTCAAGGGGGACAGAATCAGAGATGCTCAACGGAAGTGTAGTTTACAGTATTTTATGAAGAGGCACAGGTCCGTGGATATATATATATATATGTATACGTATTTCCCCGTCATGTTCGGTTCAGAGGGAGACCATTGAGGTTCCACCCCGGCAGTTTGCGGTTTGGATTTCGCGACACTGACAGGAGTCAATTCGAAACTGGCACCTCCAGCGGAGCTCTGGACAGCAAGAACGCGATCCGTCAGAGGCCTTGGGGTGCCAAACCCGGTGAAGGTCAGCAAGGGGCGGTGCTTGGAGCAGAAGCTTGATAGTGTTTTGGGTGGCCTTTTGTTCTTGCCACGCGAGGGTTGTTCAGAACGGGAATAGCAAGCCCACATTGACTGCATTCACCTGACTTGTATCTATGGTGAAGGATTCAAAGCTTGGTTGTCCAGAATTTGTGCGCCTTATACCTTCAAGAGACCAACAAGAAGGAGCAACACAATGTGAGTCGCCCAGCGATGTGCCAGCAGCATCCCATGTGTTTGATTACGGCCTTTCTGGGCAAAGCCTCTTCACAGCCCCCCCCACTTTCGAATGAATCCTTACAGACGGCAACTACAGTGCTGTTTAATGTCTTTATGTCCTGTCCTGCCAACCAGAGCAATCAGCGCATCAGTTAGTCATGTTAAGTATGGTGCGGATCATTCTCCGGGAGCGGCGTTTGATTTGCGATGCCATTCGTTGGCCAGCGGATGTGACTACTTTCAACTGTCGTTTCCCTTGAACCTCTTGCAGGGGTGAGTCTGGGCAAATTGGAGCCAGCCCTGCAAGTCGGGGTTGATTTCATGCATGTGGCCCGTCCTTTTTGAAGACGTTGCATAGTCCGATGATGTTCAGTGTTGCCGTCGAAATCTGCTGAATGGCAGCCAGATGTTCAGCCGTTCTAGTTCGGGCGTCGGCATCGGTGCCGGCGCCGACTCCGTGGTAAGGCCGGAGGAACTCGGCTCATGGCAAGGGAAGTTGGAAAAACATCGTCTTCGGCTTCAGAGGATCCATGGATCCAGCCCAAGGAATCCCGGACTTGAGGAGAAGCCCCCCTTGGGAGGCCAGCGCCTCTTGGAAGTCGTTCATACCTCTCAAAAAACCGGTTGGTTCCTGCCCAAGAACGAATGATGCCACCGGCACTTCCTGCAACTTCCTGCAGACGTCTAAAATCCGTTCCTCACATTGTCAACCAGTCCACACCATTCTTACCTAGGGGAGCTAGTGTCCCAACCGCCATAACCGCCGACCAGCATCTGGCTGACGTATCGAGTCGCCAGGTGGGAGATGGATCTCTTTGGCGGCTCCTACGAGAATTGCAAGCCCTTCGAGCGGTGCAAGCAGCTTGCGCGAGCGGGCATCCCAACACCCTTGAACGTCGGGGCCATTGTCGAAACACGACTCAGTTTCCCAAAGCAAATCATATCAAACGTGGTGTTTTTGCACATCCAGTCGTGGCGCATTTTGAGTCATGGCCCCGATGGGCCAGTCTTTGATGCTGTAGGGCTCCTTGGCCAAGTGAGACAATTGGCTGAATGAACATTTGATGCAGAGGCCGCACACAATGATCCCCAAGGGAACCCAACCGTCTAGAAGGCACCATCAGGATTTCGTGTGTTGCTTTGTATCTGAGATGCTGTGTTGCTGAGGTATGGCGCTTTGGGCGTGATGAACGACTTCCGGGGAGTGACCTCGGCATACGGCTACGGCGATTCCTATCTGGCGACGCCGGCTCTGTTTTCAAAGGCTGAGGGATTGACAGTTGAATAGTCTCGACGAGAACCGGACTCGCTTAAGCAACGTATCAGGATGCCCTTTTGAACACGCTGCTTGAGATTGACAGCAACCGCATACGGCCCTTGAGTGTGATGCTGCTTTGAGATATGGGCAGTGCTGAGATCCGCCCGAACTCTGCGTGCTTCTCTACATTTTTTTTGGTCTATGGTCAGGGCTTTCTTTGGGCTTCCCCTGAGTACGATGCTGCTTTGTGTCATGAGATATCACCAGTTCTGTGATCCACCCAACTTCGGCGTGCTTCTCTACGTGTTTTTTTTGTTTTCCCATGGGCTTTCTTTGGGCTTCCCTTCAAGCCCCAGAACCTCGCTCGTCCCACCCTCGCCCGCGCCAGGTGCTGAAGGACGTGCGCTTGCGGTGCACCTTCGCCTCCACGGACTCGGGGGGCATCAGCGGGCAGCGCCTGGCGGTCTTGGACAAGTACGCCCACGTGCTGAAAGAGCCCCTCGGCGCTTCGAATTACCTGGGCCCTGCCCAAAGGTGGATGTAGCTGGAGGGTTTGAGGGTCTCGAAATTTGGAAGCTAAGATTTTGAGGATTGGTCGAGATTATGAAGTGAACATTTTGAGGGCTTCTTAAGATTACTTGTGTAATGTTGCGGAGCTGCTTTTAAACCCCGTTTTCACGATTATGCATTGGACCGCGCTGCTTGCCCCAGTTGGATAGTTGGACAACAAAGCAGGGCTTGGGGCAGGCAGGGATGAGGGGAGCGTTTGGAAGCAGCCGAGAAAAAAGGGGGGATGACTTACCAGCCATAACAGCAGATCCGCCCCTATTCCAGTTCCCGCTTCTCATTTCCACAAAAAGGACACGAGAAGAGTAGATGCAGGGAGAAGCTCAGCTGACAGTTGACAGGTTTCAATTGGGTGGATGGAAAGAACGGTGCATTGGATATCTTACAAACATATAATACATAGATGCTCATATACACATGCATACATAACTTGTAGCCGCTGCAAAAGAGGTGTGCCCACCAACGTTACATTCCAGTTGTCAAGTGGCATCACCAATTCAGCGTGACGCACTTGACTAACATTTGTTTCTGTGGCGAGGCCTTACTTTCAACGCACTGCCGAACCTTGTGTTGGTTCCGTCACCATGCTCCAGGGCAATTTCAGCGTGAGAAAGCTTAGCAAGCTCTGCAGTCAATGCTTCTTGATGCCTGTTTCTGGCATGGCGAGCGCTAGCTTATTGGCCGTTGAGTAGTCGTTCATCGCAATCTAAGTGGGGTAGATGCATTTGTAGCGCATCATGTTCATGTAATTTCATGCAATTTCTTCTTAAGGTATGATTCCCTGCAGTGACCGCCGCCTGGAGGTCTAACTGACTCAGAAAAGCATGCTCAATCGACAATTTGCAGATTTCCAGTTTTGGGGAAGGCTCGAGCGGAAGTTTGGGTTGTGTTTTGGCAATTCGGCGCAACTTCGCGTGTGTGCAACTGAAGGCGCCACTGAAGGTCTGGTTCTGCACGGCACCTGTTTTCTGACCAATTCTCTGAGCAATGTCTGTCGGCTTAGCTGCTCAACACCGAAGTGCGTCTGACTTGAGCCACTAGCGCCAGGTACAGCGATGAGGTGCCTTGGCATCCTCCGTCCTTGGCCCAGATCTCGGGCTCTGAGCTGCTTGTTATCAGATTTTGTCTTTACTTGTTCGGAGCCAAAAGTCCCAGCGTTTTCTAGCCAGTCAACGCAGCAGGTCAGGGTAGGTTGGGTTGCTCCCTGATTTGTATGAATGGTTTGGAGGCATGGGGATTGAACAAATGCGCCGCTGTCAAAGCATCTGATTGCTTCGGAGCCATTGGGATGGCTACTCAGCTCAACATGGCCTGAAACAAGATATGCCCGTGAAAAGAAAAGACAGACAGTCCAAATACGTGGCTGAGGAGCAACATTGCTGTTTACAAGCCATGCGCTGTGTCCAGACCAAAATTTGATTCCCTATGTTGAAGGACGTTTGTGTCGACCACGACTTGTGCTTCGGCCTGCCTTTCGAGGCATAACCAAAAATGAGGCGACTTGTGAGTCAAGGAAGCTTAGTTGTTCAAAGCCGACTTTTTAACCTTCTGGTTTTCTATCTCTGGGTCCACTTTTAGCAAAGGTCCCAAAAGGTTAACCTTTTATAATCGGGTTCTTTGGGCAAGTGAGGAAGTGAAAAGGACAACATTGGCATTACGGGCGCGGAACAGAACTTGAGGAGCTGCGGCACTTGATCGACGTGGCCATGTCCAACACCTCGCTGCATGATATGCCGCAGATACACCCCACACTGCTGCGGGGCATGAGCGAAGACCCCATGGAGAACTGGCATCCTGCCTGCAGGCATTTGAGTATGGGTCAAAATTACACCACCAGGAATTGGACCGCAGGTTTTAGTCCATGTGTCCATTTACTAGGGTTCGATTTTGGGCACCGATTTTTGACCCATAGCCAATTGGTTCGCTAGTTGTGTTGAGCATGTTTGAGCGAACTCAGTGACAGTTGAAGTCCATGATCACTCGCTGCTCGATATGTTGCCATGTCGCCCCGTTTTTAGGCAGGTTTGCGCAAAAAGCTGAAGCTGCAAATGCTGTGGAAAAGTGGGCCTGTTTTTGGTGGGCCATTGGTGGGTGGTGCCTTTTCTGTTTGGCTGCAACTGCGGCCACGTTCTCCAGGGCTGAACTTTACTTGGATCACGTGCTGCCGTCAGGCGCACACATGATGTTCTGTTCTTGAAAAGGACGAAGCAGACGGATCGGTGTTTAGAACGGCTCTGGGGGGTTCCGGAAGGGTTCCAGGCTTAGTTGGAGAATCCCCACCCCCTTAAGAATGGAATTGAGGGAGGGGGGACCCCTGGAATCTCGTTCATGGTTCCATTTTCTCTTTATGGGGAATACTCAAAATTGGAAATTTTGGGGACCCCCTCGCCCCTGCCCCTTAAGGTGAGGGGGGATGCTGGGGATAGCATCATGGCTTTGGTTCAGTGTCTCTCAGGATCACCGTGGGCTTTCCCAACTTGGCACAGAGGAAGGGCCGCTACTTCTTTGAGGTGCGAGCGTCGCTGTTTGGTGGTCACTGGACATGTTGGCCTCGGTGTTTCTCTATGGACTCCTCTTCTGGTTGGCCCTGTAAAGCAGCCAAGGGGATGCTCCTCATAAACAAAGATTTGTGGGGTTGCTAGAATTGTTCTCCCGTTTGAGCCATTTTGGATGCGCCAGCTCAAAAAGTCCCTGCCTGCTTGTCTCCAATTCACAGAGGTGGTGCTCTACACGACCTGCTCTTCGCCGCAAGTGGGGCTGCTCTGCTCGGACTTCGTCTCTGCGCCCCGCAGCGCCAGCTTCTTGGGAGGCCTTGCAAGCGGACGATTTGAGCGGGAAGTGAAGATCAAAGGGCTGGGAACAGCTGATATGTATTGCATTCACATGAACGTAATATCGAATCATGTTGTACGTGCGGAAAGAAATACACACTATGTTTGTATTTCCAGGTTCATCATTATTAATCGTACATGTCCCATTTCGAGACCGGCAAAAGTCCGGTGAACGCAAGATGGTTTCTTGATGGCCACCATGGTCGAGAAACCAGTTTGGTTGTTGCTGCAAAAACCTAACTACATCAGCCCATTCTTCATCGATCATGGTTCATGAACGATGTGCCATGGAGCGCCTTCTAAAACTCAGGCAGGTTTATTACCGTCGGCTCAGCGTTGATGAGAATGCCTGGGTTGTTTTGTTGCCAAATGGATGCCATAGGTGTGCTTTCTAGATCAGTTTGGTTGAATATAAATGGGTTGGTTCTAAGCATTTTCTCGCACTATGGATTTGTCCAAAAGGACACCTAGGGTTGCAGCAGCTCTCACCATGCTGACTGTCTAAGAGCGATTCTTCAATCCTTTGTTGCCAAGCCACCTCAGAACGGGCATATACCCCTTTTGGGGAGAGGGGTATGAACAGCAGCATGCCTTTTGGGCTCACATACCCAGGATGTACGTCCCCGGAGAGAGCATGTTGAAAGACTACCCTGGTCTTGAACACTTCCCTGGTTCACTTTGAGTGCAAAGCAGGTACGGATGCAACTCGCAGCATGCCCGCCAGGCGTGGGGGACGATGAACACGGCTGGGCAGCCGATGGCCAGCATGCGATCCTCTGGCATAATGGCCGCCTGGCTATGACTATGGTTTTTTGACATGTCCCGACCTATGGCTAAACCGCAAGAAATCATTCCGGGCTTCTGACCCCATTTAAAGCCACAAATAAAGTGCACAGGGATCCAAGATCCGAACCCCTTTTTCTTTTGAACGACCTTGGTAGGATTTGTGGGTTGCGGCATGTGCGCGGGTGAACCGGATCCTTGAAAGGCCATCCAAAGATGCGAAACAGGAAGCTATGTCCTAGGGCCGACGAGCGGTTTGAGCCACAGCACGCCCAAAATTGTTTGTTGCTTTTGTATAGCAATGAGTTGGGCTCAGTTTGAGCTTGTCTGCAAATCGAGATCCCTACAAATGGATGTGCGGTCCTGTCTGTTTTCGTGCTATATTAAAGTATGAGGAGCTGTCCACCATGAAATGCTAGAATGATGAGTTGTACTTTTTGTGGGCGACGGCCAAGTGCCTTGGACAGGGTCTATATAAAAGCAAATTGGATGGCTTTCGAAGCGACTCCCCGCCAATTCAGGAGCTGCGGTCTTGCTCTTAAACGGTCAAGCCCTGAACACTCGAGGGGTTCGAACAAATGTTCCGGTAGTTTCTGGTCAAAAAATGGTGGATTCCTCGAAAACACTTCGAATATCGCACTATATGCCTGCTTGGGGTCATGTTGGGATAGCACGTGTTGATTTGATTCGGTTTTTTCCCCAGGGATTGGGACCAGTCTTGGAAGAACTTGCAAATCGCCGAAATGCCATGGTTTCTGTTTGTTTCGAAGTCCTGATTTAGGTTTATCTTGCTCAGTCTTGTTGCCAAGTAGTTCTGAAAATTAGGGACCCTGTGATTGGCTTCGTGTTGGCGACCTTTTTCAAGCTCAAAGCTGTTGTTCAAAATCAACCCTTCCAGCCAGTTGGTAGTGGTTTTCCTTCTTATGCCGTCCCACTACGGATTGGGAAGATCCGAGACCCCATGTTGAATAACCCAGCAAAAAAGGGCTTCAATTGAACGACATCCCGAGTCTTCGACTGCTCCGAGGCGAGCGGTTGCCATTTTCCGACCTGTGGCCATCCTCCGGGGGGAACCTGACAGCGCCTCAGATGCGACAGCCCAGGGGATGGGTGGGGTGAATGGATGGACTGGACGGATCGGTTCTTGAACCTAGTAACTATAGTAACTAAGAACTCAGACAGGGTTGGACTTATTTTTGGATGTAGCTTTTGGCTTCACGGGCGGGCTGCGCTAGCAAAGGCTTCAAGGTAAAAAGCAGCTGGGACGTAAAGTGATTTTAGATCGGACGGTTGTTTGTGTTTGTTTCTACTTTGACCCTCACGATGGGGAGTTTCTTTTTGGATTCCAATCAAACGGCGTAAACAAAGGCACCCTCCAAGAAAGAACACCCCTTGGGCTGGTAGCTGTGCTTGTGTGGCGCTTTGCGTTGCTGAATTTAGCATTGTTTGACGTCCTTATCCTTTGAGTTTATTTGGGTCTGTATGATCCACCAGCCACTCAGCCAAACTTAACGGCCCACGCGTTGCTGGACATGTCATATGAAGCTATAGTATAGGGGCTTCCAAATTTGTGCATGAAGACTACTGCACATATTATAGTGTTGGCTGTTATATAGGTGAGAGTTGGGCCAGGGCGTCGCGATTGCAAGGTTATGAACGTTGCTTGTTCAAGTATTTCACGAGGTGGTATTGCAATCAACCAAACAACAACATGAATCTCGTGTTTAATTAACACAATACATCGCTTCGAGCAATCCCCACCCTCCACACTCGACGAGCTTACGACCGTTACAACAAATTCCTCCGCATCCTAGAGACTTCGACTCAAAATTCCCCGCAGCTGCCCATCACAAATGCAGCAGGCCACGTGCCATGCCAGAGGCGCGCCACGGCAGAGTAACCCAAAAATGCGAAAAGATACAAAAGACTCATGCCACAACACGGTTGTGTGAATTCAAGCATGGTTTCGAGTGGCTTGGGGCCTATGACTGCTCAACAAGCTTTGCATTGAGAGCCTTATCCACCTGTTTGTGCGTCAAACTCCACTTGCCTGCGAGCCGATCTCGAGAACTCACACATCGGTTCCGTTAACAAAAGCCAAGCCCCTTCCAAAAAGAAACCCGACAGGGGATTAAACGAAGTTGCTTACTCACAACCCAAAGCAACACAAAAGCATCACCCTTTCCAAGCCTCAGGGTACACTCAAAACACGAAGGCACCAACATGAAATGTAAACCCAACTGTGCGCCGGGCGGGACATTAAGCAAAACCAGACTGGCGAGCTGCTCTGGCTGGCGGGATACTGGCCGGGTCCACTGGCGAATTCTGGCGAGCCGCTCCGGCTCGATACTGGCCGGATACTCGGCAGGATCCACCGGCAAGGGGTACTCAGCGGGATACTCGGCGGGATCCACTGGCGGGCTCTGCTGGGATACTGGCGGGACCCGCTGGCGAGCTACTCTGGCGGGATACTCGGCGGGATCCACTGGCGAGCTGCTCTGGGATACTGAGCGGGATGGCGGGCTGCTCTGGTGGGGTACTCGGCGGGATCCATTGGCGAGCCGGCATACTTGGCGGGATCGACTGCTGAGCTACTCTGGGATACTCAGCGGGATACTCGGCGGGATTTACTGGCGGGCTGCTCTGGTGAACTACTGGAGAGCCGCTCTGGCGGGATACTCAGCGGGATCCACTGGCGAGCAGCTCTGGCGGGATACTCGGCGGGATCCACTGGCGAGCAGCTCTGGCAGGAAGCTGGGCGGGATACACTGGCCAGCTGCTCCGGCGGGATACTCGGCAGGATCCACTGGCGAGCCACTCTGGCGGGATACTCGGCGGGATCCCCTGGCGAGCCGCTCTGGCGGGATACTCGGCGGGACCCACTGGCGAGCCGCTCTGGCGGGATACTGGGCGGGAGCCACTGGCGAGCAGCTCGGCGAGATCCATTGACGAGCTCTGGCGGGATAATCGGCAGGATCCACTGGCGAGCTGCTTTGGCGGGATACTGGGTGGGGGCGTGGTGTAGAAGCATCGCAAACGCGGATTGCAACATAAAATCTAATAACCCCCTCCTGTCGGGTGGAAAAAGAAAAATAACGGGACAAACCCTGGCACCAAGCATAGGGTAAGGAGGCTTGAGGCCGAGGGATGTCCCGCAGGCCAGGCCTTCAAATTTACAGAAAAAGGCCCCAGGACCTTGGAACCCTCAGGCAGATTCCATGTTGGAATGTATTCAGTTCCTTCCAGCCCGAGAAAGCCCCAGAAAGCCCTTAAGTTCTTCAGCTTTATCCCTCCCTCCAGCCTTCACTGTCGGCAACTCAAAGGATTTGATTGAATCGGGCTTGTCGAATGGGGCCGGAAGCTGGAAGCCGGGCGCAACATATTCTTGGGGTAGTGTAAGCTTATGTTGGCTCATTTAACTGTCCGGGGGTCTAAGTGGTGTTGCTTTTTGATGTAGGCACAATTGCGAGAATAGTCTTGCTCATTTGATGGCTGTTTGCGCACATGCTTGTTCCAATAGTTTCCAGCGGTCGTATTTTAGGTCCGGATACGCTTGCTATCACTGCTACTCTATGTGTGTACAGTATATACAAGTGTAGCGAATAAATGTGTATGTGCAAATGGTTATGTAGCTACTACATTTCAAATTATATGGGAATCGATTGTACTTGTTGCGCGGTTGTTTTCGCACTATGACTCTATCGCATGCAATATTTTCCCTCACTGTATTGACAGCGCACATGTGATGTTGTTTTAGAAGACGGCACACAACATAAAAGCCGATCAATTATAGTAAGTTGAGTGGCCGGATGTCAGGGCAGGTCAAGATCAAGTCTTTGGGCTCGCAGGCAGATGTTGTCGTGGGCGTTGCGGTGGACTTGGACAAGCGCCAGATCTGGTTTTCCACGTCGCTGGGATCGAGCGCGAAACGGGAGCCCGTAAGTCGCTTTCGGCCTGTCCATATTAGGGCGGCTGCATCCGCCATTTCGCACGAGATAGGCAGAAGGGGGGGTTTTCTGGTCAACGGCAGCGTAGGTTGCCTCTGTTCAGATGGACTCACCTTCCCATTTCTTTCATTCCCACCCTGGTCATTGGTCGATCCCCGGCATGGTCAAGGGCCAAGCTTCGAGCATAAATTAAACGACTTGACCAACCCGGATCTTTAGACGCTTGTAGAGATGAGGACCCTGTCGCCAGCTCACACGCAACTCCACAGGAGGTCCGCGCAACACATTGTCTTTGCGGATGAAATGGTAGATGCACCACTTGCCAGAGCTCACCAGTAGTTATACAGCAGGAATGTCAAACCTCATGGGTGTTTGCACCCCTGCAAGTGACCCTTTGAACGGCACAGGTCCTGGAGAATTCCCAGCTGTGCGGCCCACAATTGGAACTTCAGGGGTTTCCATCCGCTGGGATTGGTCGCCCCAAACTCCTTGCCAATCTGAGTTGTTACGCTCACTTGTTTCGTTGGGTATGGTGAGTAAGGGCCGTGTTGCAAATTCAATCTTAGCCTTAAACAGATGGTGGTTCTAAAACCGTCAATGCATTGTGGGCCTTGCTCACCGGATTTTTGCAGGGTGCGCGGCTCAGATGATCAGAGATCACCCAGATGAACCCGCTGTCATTTTATGTTACTAACTTGGTGAGTTCCTGGACTTTAAACTTTTTGGGAAGACATGAGTGGCACATAACAAGTTGTTTTTAACCAATCCACTCAGGAAGTGAGGTTACCTTCACAGTAGTGGCACCCTCTTTGGGTGGCTTCCCGACTAAAAATGGTCAACCCCCAAATCTGTTTCCTATCAGGGTCACCCGGGAACAGAGACTTGGGTCGCTTAAAAACGAATTAGTTATTGATTCTGAAAGGGAGCCCAGTCATGCATCGTGTTCCATTCAGTTCCCATTTGCTCCGAAAGCCACCCTTCTTTTAGGCTGTTCTACCTTGTTTCATGGCGCTCGTGAGGTAAGGCGTGTATTAAACCATTTATAGCCATGTTGGCACCAAAAGTAAACGGCTGTTTAGTGCGGCTCGTTTGGACACTGTGTCAAACCAACATATTGCCCAAGTGTGTGGTTTTGTTTCATGCCGGTTCAGTTAATTAGAACGTGATTGTCGGTGTGCCTGGTTTTGACACACAAACACACACACACTCTCGCCAATTTATCTTTTCTTGAAAGGCTGTTGCTTTACCCCCTTGGAAAACACCCTCGGGACAGGACCCAGCATAGTCTAAAACCAGGTCTTCCTGAACACAACTCAAACACCGGGTGACTTCCCGGTGCAACTCGGGTTCAATAGAAACCCAGGTGTAGCCCCCAGGACCCTCGGCTTTGCCGGCCCCTTTGCTCAGGAACGGCGAGTGGCACGACCAGCCGGACTTCTCAGAGAAGCAGCTGCGCAACTGGGTTGCTGTTTGGGAACACTTCTTCGAATCCAAATGTGCGCCCGCTCCCCTGGAAAACAAAACGCGCGATGCGCAAACGCTGCTACGAAACACCCAAGGAGCAAAAAATGATGTAACGAATGAATGATGCTGGTAGAAGTGATTTGAGTCAGTGGCTTAGGGTTGAACTTGGGCTGAGGTAAGGGGCTCACCATGTACCCCGCGCTCTCGGTGAAGGGCCGCGCAGGACCGACTGCGATTGGAAGTTGGCCACACACACACACACGCCGCACAAATGGGTGGGTAACCAGGGTAACCTGGAATCTTGTTTGGAATAAACTAGTTGCTTTACATTTTAAGATTGACGAAGTGTTGAGCAGAATAGTCATTCTATCTCTGGTTCGGGGTAACAAATGAGGTAGATACACTCCCACCCGCTAACATGGAAGCTGACTGGAGGCCTTTTTGCAAGGAGAATTGGTTCCTTTCGGTCAACGGTTTTGATCCAAGCTAGGAGCTGGGATGGTTCCCGCCCTTTGTCAACGACTTTGCAAATGGATGTGGCTAGCAATGCTGACCCTGGATTCAAAAGCCTGGCGATTTAGAGGGGGGTGCTTTCTTGCAAGAATCATGAACCAAGGGGTGTTTTAATCCTGGGTAAGCATGATGTTTCTGGTGTAGCTGCTAAAACGTAGTTCTGAGTATCTCATGAATCCCGCAATACATCAAGTGTTTGATTTCCCCTAAAGCAAACTGCAAACGGCTGGACGATGGCTTCCGTTCAACTTGTGTTGGGTCCGGCAGAGAAACCCAAAGGCAGATTGATGTTTGCATAAGCCAGCTTCCAAGCAGGCAACAGTTGCTGAGTGGACTTAAACCCTACAAGCCCAGAGTCAATGCCGGAGTTGTGTGTTTGCCTCTCGAGCTTTGTGAAACGGGCAACAGCGCCAAATTGCTTGGTGTCCTTTCAAAGGGGCAAGTTGTGCAATTCGCTTTCTCCAACTCCAGTTCCTCGATCTGGACCCCGTTGGGGTCGGTTTGAAGCGGAACCGAAAGCAAGCCCCCGGGGGCCTCGCCGCGTTTCAGGCTTCAACTTCGGGCCCGAGTTCAAGCATGAAGCGCCCAAGAACTACGGGCGTTGGCCCGGTGGGGATGGCCTCATCCGAGTGGACTGCCCCATCCTGGGAAACTCCAACCGACGCTCGGAAAAGAATGGCGCTGAACATCCTCGAAGTGTTGGACTGCCCAAACCCAGTTGCCCAGTGGCGCCTGTTTTTTTTTGGGGGGGAAGGGTTCCCCTTTAAACTCAACCAACCTAGGATGACGATGTTTTTTCCATGGCCACTGAGCATCTGAGCAAATGACGCCCGCATTTGCCAAAAAGTCGGCGGCATTCTGAAGGCCTGCCCCCTTCAAGTGACATGTTGAAGGGTTCTGAACATTTACTCTGTGGTCTTTCAAGGAGAATTGTGAGGATGTCACTCGAAGTACGTGGGAACACCAAAAACAAGGAAGAACTCTACACGGGCATAAGACCCGCATTTATGGGATCTCTTTTGACATGACTTTGCAATGTTCTCAAAATGCGGACCACAGACATGTTTTTGTTTACATACATTCTGTTGATTAGCAAAAGCAGCGTCAGATTTAGGTGTCATTATCCCCAGCACGTTGCTAAGGGAGCCAGGTTCTCGTGAAACAGTGCTTGTGGCTTCAAGTCCCTTTGAGCCAAGTGCTTTTCCTATGGCGGCCAAGTGGCCCTGCCCCTTTCACCTGCCACAACAGCCATCCCCGCCACAGTTGTGGGGAAGAAGCAGCAACTTTCAATGAACTCTTTTCGTGCGTACAAGCAACCTCGGAATTTGCGGAAGTTGCTCTTCCTTGCATCCTGGCAGGCATACAGAGCAAAGGGTGCCTGGCACTAGTTTGATCGGTGAAGGGTCAAGGATACAATTTGGTAAGCTAGATCGGCGGATACTGAGATACCTTGTCTGGCGGCACTTGCTTGGGGTGGGGGAGAAGCATTGACAGGATTGGATGGAGCAAAATGCTCCACCTCCCATGGCACTTGGTTGCATGACACTGGAGAAACCGATGGAGGACCTGGTCCAGCGGGGGGGGATTCACGGCCTATTGCACCTGGGGTCACGCTGATTGGTACTCAGGATCAGGAGCGTACACGGCCGCAACCTGCATGTCGCATGACTTGACATGTGCGCCCTCTTCGTCGGTGATCCGACGCGGCGTGGGCTGAAGTCCTGTTGTCAGGCCTTGGTCAATAGGGGGCTGGCTCGGTATACTTTACTTGGGATTGAGATGGCCAGGAGCGCAAGTACGCAGGCGGAGCCGCTCTTCAAGCTTGTGCTTCCAAGATTCCGGATACTGACTGATGGATGTCATGCGTGGCATGGGGCACAAGCATGAGAACGTAAGACCGCCTTGCTCTCTTGCCTGGTGTCACGTGATCAAGATGCGGTTTCACCTGAGTGATCTGATATCCACATTGCCAGCGGAAACCGCTGGTTGACCTCCTGCTCACATTCCAGCTACATTGCTAAAGCATGCATTTCTTGTCGCCAGCGCGTCATGTAGCACCTTGCCACATTGGCCGGCTTCACCCATCTTTTATTGATCCTGCTTTGCCGCACTGCTTTGCGGCTGGCAAGGGTGGCCTGTACTCAGCACGCACGGCTCGGGACAAATCGCCCCACATAGTCTGCTCTGTGGTTGCGGGACATCCACCCAGTTGCCCAGTGGTGCCCTTTTTCCCCTTGTTTTGGGAAAATGGATGCCGATTCTGTTTTCCCCAGGGCCGCTGGGTATCTGAGGCTATGGTTTGGGCTGATGTCTTCAAATGCCGGGCTCACTTCATTGGCTCGTCTCATTCCGAGCTCTGACACGGCATATCCAATGGCTCCACCACATGTTGCCTTCTGGCGTAGGTACCCTTGTGTAAATCCATGGCAGAGAAGTCCATGGTAGGGAGTCCTACGTGTCAAAATCGGGCTAGCGCCATATCCCTAGGTCTTGGGCCCGCGGCTAGTTCTAAACAACCCACTTTGGGGTTGAGTTGCTGTTTTGTTTTGGCGCAGAACCCCTTACTTGGCGACTTACTACCGGGGGAGCGCAAGTCGCACACACACACACACAAGCTGATCTAAAGAAACCAAACACAGATTCGTGGGCAGATCGCGCACGGCATGGCCAACATGCTAGGCTTGCGGCGATTTGTCGCCCCTCAGGACTCCGTGTCTACAAGGAGATCCAGATCCATGGAGAGGTGAGCTTCAAGCGGAATGTGCAGAGGCTAGTGGCAAACAAGAAGCCTCCTGCCAGAACATGTCACTGCAGTCCCTCGGGGGGCTGTTCAAAGTCCCACCCTTGGCGCCGCGTGTAATGGGGATACCACGCAGGGGCTTCCCAGCGGTCGTTTGCAGAAGTGTTTTGCGCGCCATAGACCGACTTTGAGCGAACCCTTTTCGGCGGACCACTGAACGGATCAAAAGCAGATCCCGCTTGCCCCAACTTTGGCCAGGGCTTCAAACCTTGGTTTGGATGATCGGAAGTATTATGATTGCCTGGACGGCCCCGGCGTTGGTAGCTGTCAACCAAAGAGTCGAGCGGCTTTTTGCACGCGTCTACAAGGCCATGGCTTCAGGCACAGATGCTTTGTGTTAAACTAGCTTCCATGCTTGAGGGTCAACAAGAACACGACATCCAAAGGGCTTCCGTTTTGGCTTCCTTCCGTTAGTTTGGAGGGCAGTAACCTAGCGACATTAATTAAGATGGGATTCAGGGGTACTACAAAGCCGACTTAACGGACTTAAGTCAAGTGATGGGAAACATGTTACCATTAGACGACCAAGTTTCTAGCACTTCACATGGTACAAGCAATCGTTCAGTTTCTAATTCAGGCACTGGTCTTAGAGAATCAACTTACCCCTGAAACCCAATACCCACGTTGTTTAGGGTATGATGTCGACCCTCTACTAGAAAAGGAAGTATCTACCATGGAAACCCCGTTTTTTTTCTTCCAAAAATGTCAAAAAAAAGTGGGGGTCTTTGGAGGACTAAACAAGGAGGTATGTACCATGAAAACGCCGGTTTTTCCAAAAAACACCCTAGGAAAAGGGGGGGGTTTTGGAGGTTCCGGGGGAAATGTCTCGATGGCCCCGACGGCGCAGTGAGGTTTCTGGAGATTCAGAAGAGCCAGCGCTCCTGGGCCATCACCGTGGATGGCTTGGACGCCATGAATGGAACCTACTCGAGGGCCGGCGCGCGCAACGACATGCCGCTCTACCTACGCCAGGAGGCCTGGGTAAGAACGAGGACGACCCACATCAAAAGGGTGATGTTATTTTCAGTGGTCCTAGTGGTTCGACATATTTCTGGCCTCGAGTCTCTTTTGGGGTTGTTCTGAACATTCTTCCACTGCCGTCTATTCTTCCCCGAAGGCCACCTGTGGATGGAGGAATTCCTGCAACTGGCAAGTGGTTGTTGCCAGCATTCGGGGTTTATCTATCCCGACTGGGTGTAGGATTTGGTCCATCCATTGCAGGTCTCGGGGTATGACCCAAACAGCAAGTTGGGAGCGGTGGGGTGTGGCCTCATTCTCGCCGATGTCAGAGTTTCTAGCGTTGAACATTGCCTGTTTGGGAGTTCCCTCGTGCCGGAGATGGCAGGAAGACGGGCCCTTTTCAGAAGTTGCATGATCCTTGGGAAACGTGACCGATGTGAGAATGGGCGTTGTTGGGAGTCCCGCTAAAAGACTTGCAAAGTAAGTTTGGATGGCAGGTTGAGAACCTGCCACCTGGGGCCTTTGGTTACAAAAAAGCACATGGCCTGGTCTCTTTGGCTTCATGTTTGGATTCCGGCCAGTGCAGCGGGGCGATCTACTTCAGCAAGAAGAGCGGGTCCTGGCACGTGGTGAAACTCGCGTCCCTGGAGAATCTTCAGGACATGGACCTGGACTCCCAGACACTGGGCCTGGAATGTGGGACCCTATGGCGTGCCTAGGGCACCCTAAGAATTTCCTAACCAACCCAAGATCAGGTCAGACCTTTTGGTTGGTATTTGAAGGGAAACCAAAAGGAAACAACAGGAAACCAACCTTTTAGGGAATCTCCGCCACTGGAGGGAGGGTGCCCTTTTCGGAGTGACTTACGGGGAGGGGGGGGGGAGATCAGCCCTTTTGACGACCTGGAATCGGGTCAAGGCATGCAGTCAAACATCCAAACACGATGCAATATGATGAAATACTAAATTGCATGAGGATGAAGGCCCGTGAGAGAGGATAGGTAGTTAAAGGTTTGAGCTGTTCCCTTTGGCCAGTTGCATCAGGGAGTCTTGTTTAGAAGAGTTGTTGGTGCTTCTACTATGCCGCACGCAGTATATTATGAATTAGCTACTTACTTTATCACGTCCCTTTGTCCAGTCCATCCGTCCCTCTTACTTGTCATGATTCATTATCCATTGCCCTCAGTTGCCAACACAAGTCACCACCAACTAGCCAGCTACATCAACAATGCAAATCAACACCTTTCACGGGACCTTCACTAGCTGGTGAAGCGTCCAGCAGTGAAAGTTTGTAGGCTTGTTGGCAACTCATGCGGAGTTGTTTCACGATGTGAATGGTGGCTGTGAACCTCGCACAGCATGACCTGCAAGACAAGGTCCTACAACATCTTAGTATAACAGCGTCTGTCTTTCTTTCATTCTTTCTCTCTCTCTCTCTCCCCCCCTCTCTCTCTCTCTCTCTCTCTTTTTCTGTCTTTTTCTCTCTCTTTCTCTTTACAACGCGTCAGCTTGCAGTTCGAGCAGTTGGTTTGGGGAGTTCTCACGGTATCTTGCCTTGACTAATCCAACGATATCATAGCCGGAGCCAAAACGAGGCTCGGCAATCAATGTTACGAGCGAAAATGAAGTAAACCAGTACAATACATGGAATTGACCACACAATCAAGCGAGAACAACAGAAGCGGGAGCAATCCAACCAGAGCGGGCCGGTGGCTCATACCCATAAACTGCCATCCACTCAGAACAAGGTATTCTTTTGCTGGTACTCAGTGGGGAATGGTCCAGGGTTTTGGGAATGAACCTGGGAATTCCCTTCACGGAAATCATAGGGAACGGTTTTTCTTGTTCCATTTCTTCCCTACGATATCGAAGCAGCCAGTTTTCCATGGTTGATCTGATTGGGATCCGAGGTCAGTCTTGGCTTTGGCGCCGGTTCAGAAGGATGAGCTCACGCCCCCGCGGGAGGGCTGGGAGAGGCCGCCGGAGCTGCTGGGCTACCTGCCCGTGGCGGACTTTCAGCACCGCGGCCGCACGAATTGCACGGACGGACGGGTCTCTTGTACTCACCTCACTGAGTTCCTGGACTAGGAACTTATTGGGTTGTAAACAAAAGTTTTGGACTTTTTGTTTGGCTGATCCGCTCAGGAAGTGAGTTTCAAAGGGTTCTCCGTATTTCCCATCATGTGGGGTTATGGAGACAAAGCGTGTGGCTTGTAGCAGTTGGTCGTCTTTATTTTCGGGCTTGCAAAGTCAATCCAACAGGTTGAAAGTGGTTCCAAAAGATGTAAACTTGAAGGAACAATGCGATGCATATCATGAAAGTGAGCACTTAATAGCTTGCATGTGAAATAATCACATCCAATTGACAGAAACACTGTTAAGACGATTCAAAACGTGTAGGCATAAACACAACTCATGTTTCCTGAATGCAGTTAATTACTTCATGCTTGTTTCGATAGTCTTGGGGTAGACATTATACCAATAAATTAACACATGTTGGTATATTGCTTGTCCGCGGCAAGAGGCTATTCAACGAATACTGCGGTAAACCCCCAATGATTCATTGAAGCAATATCATAGGAATACTGGGTTCAATCACCCACCATCTCATCAACAGTATGGCTCGTTTTAATTTTGGTATAGTAATGCTCATCATGTCCGAGTATTTATTATCATCTTTCAAATGACTAAAAGCAGATCCTAAATCAGGTCCTCACGTTAGATCCTATAGCCATTCATGTCATCCCAGGGCTGATCTAAGAGACCGTTATTTCTGGCAAACGAGGTATGGCCCGACTTGTTGCAACCAGTACCGTATAGTAACATACAAAGTCCTTTGAATTAAAGGCTGGGTATCAGCATACTTGAGTATAGCAACAACTAACAACAACACAAAGTCCTAGAATTGAGTCAAAGGAAGGGGCATCTCAAATTTTAACACACCAAGTCACAAGAAAGAATAGAGCTCCGGCAAACAAAAACCCGAATCCCCAGCTAAAATCACCTCACCTCATATCCTCCGCGTCCGGAGAGAGGGCGCCCGCCTTCTCTCAGGAAGGCGCTGGACTCCTTGGGGCTGAAGGACCACATCTCCAAGCTGGTGGCGCAGTTGAAGGGCGGCTCGGAACGGCACGGCAGGTGTCAAGGGGCGGTCCCTTGGCTCGCTCGGCTTTTTCGTCGGGGCAGCGCCAGGAAAAAAACGCCCCCGGCCGGCCCTCTTTTTTAGGGGTTCAAACCAAAATCCGAGCCGCTTTTTCCTTTTGGCACCTCCAACAAGTGGCAGCTCTAAGGGAAAACCGCCGTGAACTGCAACTTTTGGAGGGGAAATCCAGCGACCCCTGATGATTCATGGGTTTGAGGGGTTGAAACATGGGCTTGGGGATGGCTTTCTGGTTTTTGGCACAAAAAGACCGAGCAAACAATGGGATTTTGGTTTCATGGAACGGTTCCCGATGTTTGGTTCAACCAAAACAACAACGACCAACAAGCAACTCCTGGTGTTCAAAGGGTGTTTCTGGTCGCTGCTGGATTCTCCAGGAGAACACACGATACCAGGCAGAATGCACGCTTGTTTGGCGGGTCAAATCCCAAACAAGCACCCTGACAATCTGCATTTGTTTGCGTGTTGCCCCTTTTTGAGGGTGGTTCCCATTCAAAAAGCGTCCAACAAAACAGCCTGAAGTTTGGTTTTGCCCCGACCCCCATGTCAGGAAAGACACCGGAGGGCGAAGAGGTGATCTTCCGATCCAACGGGACTCCGACGTGGCTATGAGTTTCCATGAGCTGTCTCAAAACGTGGGTGGCATCCCCACCCAAATGCGGACCGCGTCCACACTGATTCAAATCCTGACGTTGAAGTGACTGACTTCAGTCTAGGCCGAAAGATCTAGGTTGTTCATGCCACATCGCTTCAAATGCCTGAGGTGAAGCCTTGTGCGTTACGAGTTCTTGGTTCCATCAAAATCCATTCCAGATTGGTTGCCTTTATGCAACAACCGCGAAGCAGACGTCAGACATTCTGCTTGATAGCTGGCTGCAGCCCCACAAGACAAGAGGTTTATCCTGGCTCAAAAGCAACACCTTTGATCATTCTCCTGTGCTCCACCAAGACATCAAATTGATTACCTCCTTCACCTGCCATGTGGACAGAGGGTACAACTCAAACTAGCCTCGTAGAGTCCCTGTTTGGGACAATCAAGGGCCACCTAAAAGTGTAGCAACCCTCTTGGATGGGTTTCCTCGCAAAGGGTGTTCAAAGGCAGACACTGCTGCTAGCACTTGCTTGAGAGGGTTTAGCACCCACTTGTTCAGGCACATCCTCTAAACCCGTTTTTGATTGGTGTCCTTGTTTAGCCTTAGGGCCACTTGGCAACTGGGAACCTTCAAGAAGGCACACCCTTGTAGCACTTTGCCTTTTCACAGATCCTCCTATCTCAGCTTCCTTGATTAGCGGAGAAAGGGTAATGGGAACGCTTGCTGAAGTGGATACGTCCAAGCTGCAGTTGGGAGAAAGTAGATGGCCCAAATCAGACTCATTCAAGTTTAGTCTTTCCTTTTGCAAGCTCACATCTAAGATTCTACCGGGGCTTGTGCCATTCACTTTCTACTGTACCCCCAACTCAGTGGAGCCAAATCCCTTGGATAAAGCATCGGCGTAAGGCTCGAAAGCCCTGTGAGTTTCCATGGGAAGGTACCACTTACCTTTCAATTCACCAGGAACCTGACAGGGACCCGGTCCCTTCAATCGGAAAATGGTCCAAACCAGGACAGGTTCCATGTTACTTGGTGGAACTGACCCCACTGTCTTGCCGCTATCAACCCCCTAAGTGGTGGGTTAAAGGGAAACCACCCAATTCAGTTTCTGACTTTGAGAACCCCTAGAAACCGTCAAGCCCATGACCAGTGGGCCGAAACGTCGGGTTAATTGATGGTAGGATATGTCCCATCCATGAATTCATTTCGAGGACTCCAGACTATCCACCGAGTCCAGTTTCTCACTTTGATCACCCCAAACAACTTTCAATATAAAGGGAAACTTCTCGTCAGTTTCTAGGGGTTAAACGGAAACCATACCGGGTTCTGCGAAAAAATCACCCATCTTCTCTTGCCCAACTATCTTCCCCGCCCCCCCCCCCCCTTGGCCCCCTTTGATAAGGAGGCCATTTTTTATGACTTTTTGTCGGTTCTTTTTTAGGAATGTGTTTTTTTCAGGGTGCATTTCAATCGAAAGGGGGGTGGCGGGGGGGCACCAGAGAGAAACTGGCGATGCTGAGGATTCAGGAAGCCAAGGCCAAAAAAACTGGGAAAGCAGAGGATGCGAAAAGCCAAAGGCGCAAAAGCCGCATGAACCCACACAAATGCAGAGGATGCGAAATGAAAAGCCACACAAGCCACAAAAACCCACGTAAAAGCCACAAAAGCCCCCCACGCCTAATTGAATCATCACTTTTTCTTAGATTCTTTGCCCCTAATTGAATCATCACTTTTTCGATCATCATAGGGGGGCTGCTGCCCCCCCCAACCCCCCCGCTCCTTTAATTGAATCATCACTTTTTCAATCATTATGGGGGGGCTGCTGCCCCCCAACCCCCCCGCTCCTTTAGAGAGCGGCCGGGCATGGGGCCTGGAAGATGCTTTCACAACTCCAGGCCCCATGACCGGCCCTTCTGCTCCTTTAATTGAATCATCACTTTTTCAATCATTATGGGGGGGCTGCTGCCCCCCCCAACCCCCCCGCTCGTTTAATTGAATCATGCCCCCCCCCCCCTCAACCCCCCCGCTCCTTTAATTGAATCATCACTTTTTCAATCATCATCGGGGGGCTGCTGCCCCCCCCCGCCCGCTGCTTTTTTAGTTTTGTTTGCCCCTAATTGAATCATCACTTTGTTGATCATCATGGGGGGGCTGCCGCCCCCCCCAACCACCCCGCTACTTGTTTTTTGTGATCATCATGGGGGGGGGCTGCTGCCCGCCCCCCCAACCCCCCCTCCCGCCCTGCTGTTTTGTATTTTTTTGTTGCCGTTAATTGAATCATCATTTTTTGATCACCATGGGGGGGCTTGCTGGGGATGTTGGCTGGACATGCGGGGGATGTTGAAAACGATGCTGATGATGTTGACGGACTAGCGTAAAATACGTAAATTGAGAAGCCAGGACGGAAAAAAACAAAAACAAAAAACAAAAAAAAGCTCCCAAATTAAATCTCGACCCCTTTGATAATCTGAGAGGGAGACCTCGCGTCTTTTTGTTGCGTCCGCAGGAAGAAGACCCTGGAGGTGGCCTGGGAGGCGTTGGCCGAGCCCCCGGTGTCCGCGGAAGGTGCCTGGACTGCGGCGGTGGAGGCGCGATGGGGCTGTGCCGTGCCGTGACCGTGGGCGTCCCAATGTGCCTCTAGGTCCCCCAGTAGTATCCTTTTAACCTTTTTTGGGGGAGGGTTTCCCTACTAAAATAGACTACAGAAGGGGACCCTATTCTAACCTCTCTACTGGAGGACCTAGGTGAATTGTCCAGATCTCAATTGGGGATTCAAGTACTTGAGGATTCAATTGGGAATTCAAGTAATTGGGGATTCAATCAGCTGAGGATTCAATGTTGATAGCCACCATGTGTTTCCTTTTGTCCAAGTGAGGCAATGAGGGATCACACACTCAGTTCGATCTGTTGAACAAGTGTGGCGTGTCGACTATTTGCCCCTCGACCCTTATGCCCCTTTAAAAGGGAACCCAAAGATGGCTGTTTAAAGTTTAAAAACAATTTCCTCACTATAAAGGTCTAATTCATTACTTAGAATTGAGTGCACCCATCTGCAAACATGTTTTGGACTGAGTAATTGACCAATTTAACATGCTTAGCCCTGGTAACCCCTCAAAAGGGAACCCAAAGTTGGTTGCTTAAACACAGGTTGAATAGAATACGGGGGGTTATAACAGGTGGTTGGCTTGGCGCTGGCGTCCACTTTTTCAGGTGGCACAGGAGAAGCTTTTCGCCAGCCTGGGGCTGCAGAAGTGCAAAGTGCTGGAGACCGCCCATCCCTATGAGCCCCTCGACGGAGCTGTTGGGTCGGGTCCCAGGTCTTTCCTTGGTGGCTCCCCTTTTCCTTTTAGCATTTTAGCGTTTAGTATACTTTCCATTTAACCCACTAAAAGTGAAACTTTTAGCGGGGGATCTGAGAGTTTCTCAGGAACAAAGAGCTTTGTGGGGGTCGCTTATATAGACTCCCCCTCCCATACCCGTTGCAGGGTAAGGTGAGTTTCCTTTGCGCCGTTGGCTTGCACGAGGCAGGACAGTCATGCGCTTGTTTGCATCCCAAAGGAAGCCATTTGTTAGAACTTGGGTCACTCCAATTCTTGGGTGATCTAAAAACCGTGAGCTATGTCGCAATATGTTTTCTGGGACGATGTTTAATGTTTACAGGAAACACTTTGTAGGGATTCCTGCCCCCCTTCGTCCAAAAAGGTCCATGACCAAAAGAAACTCCGGTGGCTGTTGCAGGATGATGGAAGAGCGAGGGGGACGCAACAAGATCAACCAAGGGACCGGCGGTCCCATGGCCCCTTTGTGGATGCAAGCAAGTACATGTATGGAGGGGTAGCCCACATTTTTCCCAGTTGGGGAGAGGGATGTTGCAACTGTTATTGGCTTCCTTCTCAGAACAACCAGCTTCTGCTGCATTTGTCCGACCAAGCTGCAAAATAAGAACAACGAATGAGCCGCCAGCAAAGCCCTCGTTCTTTACGTGTTAGGGCACGAGAACCAACCACAAAAATTGAATGAGAAGGTTCCCGTGAAGGGAACCACGTCCAATGGCACAGTTGCACCAGTTTCTTGCATCTGTATAGCGAACACAGCCGCACGCCTGAGGACTGCTGATCACTCCTTTACGAAGACAGTGGCTATCGCTACGGATGGCCCCATCGACGTGCACTTTGGTCCGGACCGGGCATTTGGCTATGCGCAACGGAAAGCTGTTGGTGAGTTTGCCCGATTTGGTCGGCTTCGGTTCTGGTGCATCTTCGAGTCTCCTGCATGTTCCCATTCCCAGTTGCCCAGTGGTACCCTTTTTCCCTTTTTTTGGGAAGGGTTCCCCTTTAAAATCAACCAACCAGAAAAGCATCTGAGCATTGAGCGACCGTGAATCACTCGGCAGTGGTGGCCTTGGCCTGGTGCCATTATAGCCAATCGAATCAAATGGCGTCGACCCATACACGAGTCCGTTGGTTGCAAACCGCTTGTCTGAGGGTTGCACATTTGAGCTGGCAGGTGTTGCTTACATGAGAGACACCCAGTACAAGAGCTGGTTTGCCCCCGCCCCCTTGATACAAGAGTTGGACGTTGGGCCAATGCAGTGCCGCTTTAAGCAAACAGGCAGGCAATCAAGCATCACATTGCCGGTTCGATCCATCCCAAAACCAGTTTTCACATCCCCTCTTTCATGGGTGTGCTTCTTGGAGGGCACTCTTGTTGGGGTGGCTTCAAAAGGAAAACCAGGTGTCCTCCAATTCTTACACACACACACCCGCGCGCGCACCTTTGGCCCCGTTCACTGGACCGCCCCGAGTGGCCCCCAAAACCGGCGGTTTGGAGGAGTGCCGCACCTACGACAGCCGCACCTCGCTGTGTGTCTACGGGGGCGGATTGAGCAAGGCCTTGGTGGGCGTAGGAGCCCGTGTGCACTTGAAGGCCAGCGGGATGGGAGGGGTGGGCGGGGTTGGGGTGGGATGCGGAGGGGTGGGCGTGGGGTGGGGAGGGTGGGCGGGGTGGGGTGGGATGGGGTTGGGGGTGGGGGTGGGGGTGGGTGGGGGGTGGGGGGTGGGTGGGGGGTGGGGGCGGGGGTGGGGGTAAGATGCGATTTGGTGCGTTAATGCTTGGAAGAGGTAACTTACTAATTATGTTCTTGTTTGTTAGCGGCTTTGCCCTCTCAGGTTGCCTTCAAGGAATCCAGTGCTGTCAAGCAGGAGGCAGCTGAGGAAACGGAGTCGGGCAACGCTTTCGATGGATAGGCCAGGCGTAGCGCGGCATTGCCACATTCAATTGTGAGAGACTCCCATAGGACTATCAGCACATTGTAGCAGGTTTGTTTCACTAACATTCCCAAACCCTTTCAGGGAATTTGACTAAGGGGAGCTTCATCCCCATATTGCATGACAGCACTTTGGTACCCTTACAGCACTTTGGTTCCATCTTGGCCACTGTCAATCCCTCCGTGGAATAGAAGCAGGTTTCCTTAGCAGAATCTGCTTGGCCAAAACACGCAAAACCAAAAAGAACATCTGTGTGTTTTACAGTGCTTTAGCTTCAGGAGAAGGTAGATGTGGATGGGGGGGGGGGCGGGACCGAATGTATGCTATGTACTGCAATCTAATGCAATGTAACGTAATGTAATGTAATGTCATTTAATGTACTGTAATGTAATGTAATGTAATGTAATAAGAGGGCGGCACTGTCAGGCACTGCTGCCTGTTGGCAGCGCAGGCAGTGCACCGCGTGGCTGACTGGCTGCCAGAGCTGCTGTTTTCATTGCAGCGCCAACGAGAATTCACTTGAGCTTTTTCTCGGTCGCCTCAAAGGCGCGTACAATGGCGCCCCGACAGCCAAAGACTTGATCGTTCAAGCGCAGCTACACCATGTACGGCAGAGGCAGCAGCCGCCGCCAAGCCCGAACTTGGGGCGTGTCATCTCGGAGTCACGTGAGCCAGCTTGCTTCTGAAGCATACGACGTCGCTACCGCTTTCATGGCGAGCTTGCCGGGGACTTGCAAGCCCAACTCCAGGATTGGTGGCAAAATCCTTAGCCTGTCACAAGCAAAACAAATCATGCCACCATGAAGCTGGCGAGGCAGAACCTGTCGCACGTTTTTGTCTTCAAAAAGGCTGCTGATGGTTCCTGATGAACAAGAAAGGATCTAGATAGTGCTCGAAGCTGTCTCTTTTGATCTCGCGCGGGATCTTTTTAGGGGACTGTGCTGCAAGTTGGTTGTTGGCGCGAGCAGCTTCACTCCATCGCCCCAGCCGCGCACTGGGGCCTGCGGCTTTCTAGGCGTGAATCGCTTTGATTGCTGAAAGGACATGCTCGCGCTACATGCTCGCGCTCATCGAGCACTCCGCTAAGAGCCACGCAACGTAAAAAGAAGGCCCCGCGCAAGCAGCTCAAAAAGTCCTGCCTGCAGAGTCCGGGGAAGAGACGCCGCATGAGCAAAGCACTCCTTTCCCCAACAGCGCACAGCTGTGCGCGCAGTGATGTGCCTAGTTTGCACACCCGAAAGAATCATCACTTTGTGCACATGTCTGCGCGTGCCATGAACCAGACGCTGTCCGACCTGCGATTGCTTATGGTCATACAAGGCTTTTGGCCATCCTTTAGTGCGAAAGGCCAATTTGCGGCAATTTTCAACATAATCAAGCGTGTTAGATGCTGTATTCTTGGAGGCTTTGACTCAGGCAGTGCTTCGGTGAATGGCCTTGAACCCTTGGTTGCCTGGCTGTACTTGTAAGCAGTTTTTTTTCGGAGTCTTGTGTGCTGTCATCCCTTTTGCTTGAGAGGATTGTTTCTTGGAGGCTTTGTTCCTTGCGGGAAGAACATGGCGGCAAAAGCCGTAATCTGCTGCACAAATGTCCTCCGCCTGTCGCAAGAGCATCCGGACGAACATCTACCTCTGGTGGGACTTCATGTTGGCATTTGTTTGAGGTTTTTGTGTAATGCGCGACGACGCAGTCTGCACGACCAGTCTCGGCCAGGTCCAGCTGGCGGAGCTTGGGTGGAGCACTTGGCGTGAGCTCATGGAGCAAAGGCGCATGTCAGACTTGCAGGTGCAGCGACACTTGGACTTGCTGCTCGCGCAAGAGCATGCCGCTAAGCTGGAGGGCAAGCTTGCTGAAGTTGAGGATGCGCTGCCTGTCGGAGACCTTGCCTGTCAACCCTTCTACAGGTGGATCTGACCTTGTGCCGCCCTCCCCTAATCCTGCCTTCCTCCAGCTTCGGAGCGAAATTGCACACCACATTCGCCCACCAAGCGAGCCCGCTGTGAAACAGAAGTGGCAGAGTCAATGTGATCGGCAGCTCGGCCAAAAGAGTGGCCCAGCGTCTATTTGGCACGTAGCCACTGATGTCTGCCACTGGCAGCCGGCAGCAAGCCAGGCTCAGGCCGCGCTTGCAGTTGTTCCACCCTGAAAGCTGTTCACGTCCAGTCCAATTTCAGTTGGCCCCTTCTTTCCAGCAGCAGAGCAAAGGCCGGGACAGGCTGGCAGCCGCCGCGATCCTTTTTTTAGCTGCGTCTACGTTTGTGGCGTTTGGCTTGGAGCGCTCATGCAAGTCAGAAAAAGAGGGCGGTCAGCGAGTTCAAGTCATGACGGCGCGAAACAGCGCAAACTCATTGCTTGGATGCTTGGCTGTTTGCTTGTCCAAGTCTGTGGCTTTGGCAGGCTTTGGGCTGCCGACTGGGGCTGCGTGGAGTTTGTCAGCAGCGCGATGGTAGGGGATGAATCGCGCATGGCGTGAGCGATCCATCTGGCAAGGGCAGCGGCGCCGGCGGCCAAGCTGACGCCCTGGTCTGGGTCGGCGCGTCCTGGGGATGAGGCCACTCACGAATGGAGGAGGTGTGAGCATCGTGGCGCACGTTGTCTGATGACAGGTCACGGTCATGGTGAAGCCTGCTGCGCGGCCTGTCCTGGCTTTCACGCATGAGCGCATCATCAGCACACAAAATGTCCGATACATGTCAGCTATTGCATCTCATTCCTCGCTGCTTTGCTACCCATGCTTATATTTTGCGGCAGGCATTGGGGTGGGTAGGAGTGTGGAATGTGGGTGGGGTGGGGTGGGGCGGGGTGGGGCGGGGTGGGGCGGGGTAGTCATGAGTGAGAACTTAGTTACCTAGGTTGATCTTAGGAGGGATAGCAAGCTTTGCAGTGCGTGATTTCGTGCTTTGCAGCTTTCGGGATCGTCTCACTTTTGGGCTTGGCATCTTTACTGGGTCCGCCCACTTGGTTTGCCCCAAAAAGGGCAGAGCAACCCCCGCTGGGGCAAACCGCAAACCCAGCTGATGCACTGGAGGTGTGTCAAAAACAACGGAACAAAAAATGTTGTCCGTCAATGGATGGTCTCAGAACAACACACACGCTTGTTGCAATTCAGCCACCCTGGGCACAGATCCAGGCTTCAGGCAGAGATTGATCGCCGAAACGTTAACACGCTCTCTCACAACTTGAAAGCTGTTCTGTGGGTGTGTGTGTGTGGGTGTGCGAACACAAAAGACTTTCCAAATGTATCCAACTCTTGTTTTTTGATTGCTGTTTGATGTATTCCTCATCCGCTGCCCCGGGGGGGGGGTTGAAGGGGGGTCGTGCCATGGACACTTAGACTACAGATTCTATCCAATGTTGCGGAGGACTCCAATTTTTCAAGCGATGTTTTGTTCCTTGTGTATTTCTTCAAACCCATCCACCGGCACAGGGGTTCGGGGAGGTTTGCTGGTCAGGTGCCCACAGGTCACGAAGAGGCCCACGGCACCATCATCGGCCGCGCTGAAGGTGGAAGGGTCCCGTTTTGCTGTGGCATGAAAGTTGTCAAAATGAGCCACAATCAGAACCCGGGTAGATGAAGGTTAGTGCCTTGAAGTGGTGTGGCCACCTTTTAATTTTTCACCGTTTTAGTACTCGGTGTTGATTGTGACTCAGATGGCTCCATTGTGGATAGGCGCCAAAGCGCCGCCTTAGGGAACCTATTTTTGAATTTCATGGGGGAGACATGTTGAACAAAGATCCCACCGGTTTGGTGTTATTTGTTTTGGAAAATTGTGTAGCGGTTACAAACCACGCACATGGTTTGCCTTTAGAGACATGCAAAGGGGCTCCCCGTTTTGAGACAGATCCTATTCAAGTGATGTCTTAAAGGCAGCAAGGAGGCGATCGCTAGTTGTTGAAGTACTCCGGATCCTCAATGGGTCCACATTTGACGTCTTGTTTTTCAGTCGCTTCCCGACTGGGCATGAACAACCCAGAAAGGGTCCCATTTTTCCATTCATATCGCACTGAGCAACTGAGTTGTCAAGATGGCCGGTGTCATGTTGCATCCAAGCAAGGATCATGGTTGCGGAAATGGAAAGCGTTCTCTTGGATCGTGTGCTTGTCAAGAGGCCAAAGGGGAGGTGGCCTACAGGACAGGGCCATGCCTCACACACGATGAAGATGGGCCGAAGTGTTGGGACCGGGAATGCCATATGACGGTCCACAAAGCCACGAACCACGGAGCTATGAACACCAAGGCATGCTGAAACCAAGATTTGCAGCTTTGGGCGGTGAAGCAAAGGAGGGTGTGGCAAATAATAACTATACAATTCTGTTTGGGGTGAAGGCCCGCGTTTAATTCTATGAGATTACTGACTTGACTAGTTTCTTCAAGAGTCATGTGTTTGCCCGTATCATTGGCAGTCGACTGTTGCTTTGAGTTCCGCACACACCCACACACTAGAAGAGCAGGTAATTTTGTCAAATTCTCACGCATACACATAGGTTTTTTTCTTGCATAAAATTGCATATAGACTTGTACCTGCATCGAACGGAGAGCTGCTTTATGCTCGGACTTTCCCACCCACAGAGTGCCAGACTTACGATATCCTCTTTGCCCAGGGAAAACCTGCCGGGTGTCTTTCATTTTCCAATTGAACCCGAAAGCGGTTCTCCTACTTGACGAGGATTTCTTCTTGGGGCATATGCGTCCTCGGATTCCACGGAGGCGGCAAATGGCGGGTGCGCGTGGACAAGGACGAGGCGGAGATCTGTGGAGTCTTCAAGGAGTGGATCGAGTCCTCCGACAACGGCAAAGAGCCTCAGCGAAGGCCAAACGCGGCTACACTAACATGGCAACGCCGCGGCCTGTTGAGGCAAAACGCGTCGTAAAAGAAGTCCCATCCTAAGTTTCTGAGGATAAACAGGCTTAGTCAGGCAGATCAGATTCTTTCTTTGGTTCTTGAGGGCTGAATGGTGGATGTGCCCGTGAAAGGTATAAGTTTTTTGCTTGCATCAGCTATCGCTAAACCACCCCTTGGACACTTCCATGGTTCAATTCCCTGGCTATCTCGGGTGTAGTTTGGCATGGCTTTTGGCTATTGTCAGACCTTGTGTACCATTTGGGCAGGATAGGGCTTGTCTTATGTGTAGTCAGCCGTTGCCGATCCCGAATAGGATACAAGGATCAATCAACCTCGGAGGAACTTGCGGGGCCGCTCCCTTTTTCGAGGGGATCCGTGTTGCTTGTGGGGGACCACCCCCCAAAACAGTCCACAGAATGCCACGCGATTGAAATGCGGGTGTCCAGCAGAGTGAATGACCCCGATAAGCCAGTGGCTTCCTCAAAGGCGATCCCTGGGTTCATTTCCAAAACCCTGCTCAGAGCCAGCCGCCCGAGGAAAGGTATTGCACCAGCTGTGTGGCCGAGACTCAAAAGGTGTGCACTGCCACTTGGCTGCAGCGTGATTCAGAGCGGCTCAGCAGGTGGTCCTTGTGCCAGTTGTCTGGGACAGAGTGCGGCATACTGGGGCCAAAACAATTAGAAGGGAATTGTAGGGACTTTAAAGCCGAGTTTTTTTAAAGGAGAATGTGCGGAATTTTATCGATTTTTTGGTTAGACATTTGTCGACAACACGGATGGGAGCGAGTTCGCGGGTTGCGGAAGTCAAAGGAAACAACCCGTAAGTTGCCCTACTATTTTGAGAGGCATCGTGAATTGCCTTGCTGAGGCACATTTGTCTGTCGATCTAAAATGGCTTCCGCTAACCCCCCCAGCCCCCCTTCAACAAACCACTAACCCCCAGGGAAATTGAGGTGTACAAAATATATATCTATAAAATAATATACTTTTTCTATAGTCCTTAGTTCACATTGAACCCTTGGGGGTAGTGGGTGGGGGTAGTGAAAACCATCTTAGAGTGAACTAGGTGTTTGAGGCAATGGGGCCCATGCCAAAGTTCTCCCATCCCAAAATTGTTCCACACAGTACAGGTTTGACATGCGTTCCTTGTTGGCTGCCTGCATGCAGATCTCAAGGGCTAAACTTCGAGAAACCGGGTGAATCGTTGCCCCAGTTTTCTTGGTGTCCAGTCACAGACCCGAGACGGACCGAAGCCAAAATGCTCCAGTTGATGGCAGTCTTATACTGGATGATCTTATCCGCAATGTGCACACATGCACATAATACGCATATTTTGGTGGTACAGTTCAAAGGATTCGATAGTTGTAGAACTAGCCCAGTCAAGATGCTTGTAGAGATAACTGCCACAGAGGGGCATGAGGGCAGGGGAATGCGCAGTCAAGCCGCCTCCGGCTGGCTTGGATGAGTGAAAGCTGGATCTTTGAACTGGTGTTTGGAGCTAGAATTCTTGTCCGAGCCAAATGGGCGTCCGAAGGGATGACCCTGGAGAAGCCCACATGGGAAGTTTTCATCACAAAGCAAAGGGTGCAGTTGATCCCAGGCCACGAGGGGGTGGGTGCTCCGATCCCCGGCCACGAGGGGTCCTCTTGCTTTGGTAAGTCGATTTTCTTTTGCCGTGTTTCATCTCGGACCAACTTTCTATCGTACCCCAGGGTCGCACGGGTGCAACGGCTTGCTCGGGTTTGCCACCGGGATTCTTTTTCGCGCCTTGTCTGAGGTGCGGTACGAGGGCCGGACGGTGGGCAGTGAGATCGCCGGCTTCAGGCGAGGGCCCTGTTTTCTCACCCGGCAGCCAGCTAGTTTATAGTAAGCTCACCTGGGGGTAAAGCGAGCACAAGGTCTTTCTCTTAGCGGGATTCCTTAACAATTGCAGATGCTGGACAATTGACATGAATTTCTGCTCTTCAATGCAACTAACTACCCGTGTTGTTTGCCTTTTTTTTCCGCTATGTCCAACTGAAATTCCGACCCTCCCCCCCACTTGAAATCCCGCATGCGAGAAGTCAGAAATTCAGGAAGCTCAGCTTTCCTCTCGGCAGGTTTGACACCTCGGACCCGTTGGCGCCCTTTGCCATCACCGGCTTCAACGCCAAGGCGCGGTGCCGGGGATGGCTAGTAGCTAATAGTAGCTAGACTGTTAGTGACTAGGGACCAGCAGTCTGTTTGTTTTTCTTGTTTGTTTGGTTTGTTTGGGGGGGTTGAACTTCCTGAGGGGTAAAACATCGAGAATGTCCTTGTACAGGCAGTGCTTTCACCGATTGATTCAGCCTTGAGTTGGAAGGGTGTACTGCTTTTGTGACGGAGAGTTGCTGTGGAAATCCGACTTGATCACAGAAAGCTCGGTATTTTCCCCCCATGTTGTTTTTTCTTCGCGCTACCACCTGGAGAGAAGCAACCTGTGAACCCAGTTGCACGGCACGCTCTTCAATCGATTTTTCGGGTCTCGAGTCACTGCGCCGCTTCGCCAGGGCCCGGCACAGTCCGATGGGGTCATGGTGGGCTGGTTCCTGGACGTCGGGGCCTTGCTGAAGGAGGACCGTGGAGTCTGGCGAGCTGCAAGAGTTGGTCCATGACACGATGAGATAATAAAAAGAACGAGTTGAGTCACTTTCACAAGGGATCCGACTTGGAAATATAGCTGGTTCTATTGTGATCCTAGAATAAGCAACCCCTCAAATGGTATGTCTCCTTTTTGTTTCTCCTTAAACGGCGGGTGATTTTTTGGAGATGCCCTCATGTTTGCACTGTTGGATGGCCCCACCCTCCCGGTTGACTCTCAGACAAACAGACGATAGAGCCACTGAGAATGGAAGGACTCCCTTTTTCGATCCTTTGTCTTTGTGTGTTCAAAAACTAACTACTTGCTCATGGGCACACAGGTTGCTGTCTTTCTGGCAGCACTGCGATTTTTCCTCCGGAATTCACATTCCGGAGAAATGTCGCATTTTGCGACCCGGGAAATTGCTTGTGTTGTGCAATTATGCCCGTAAATTCACTTGGGAAACCCCTGCCAAAAGCCTGTTGCGAGACAGTGAACACCAAGATTGTGACCAGGCGCAAGCAGGCGGACATGGCAACTACTTGCTTCGGCAGATGTGACTCAAGCATCCAAGAGCTGCCCTGGTTTCAAGCTTCAAGTCTCGCATCCATCCACAGGCTTAATTCGTCATGCCCAAAGCGAGAAGCTGCTGATGTAGCCATGGGATTCCTAACATATTCCCCAAGACCCCCAAACCAAGAAGCCCCTTGCAAAGATCTTGAGTAAGGTCACAATGATTAGAAGTGGGAACAGGAGTTGGACATGCAACTATGTTTATAAGGCCTTGGCACTATGCTGTAGCTTGAGCATGTAGACCCCAGCCCACCCTAGCCCCCACCCAAACCGTTCCCGCAGGAAAGCTTCATCGAGCTGGAGGGCGAAGAGCTTGGGGTGGTGCCCAGGAACCTCAGCGAGGCAATCGGCGGCGAATCGGTCAACACATGGGTGCAAAATGTGTGGAACAAATGCCAGACCCTGCCCTTCAAAAGGAGAAGTTATCCAACAGCATGGATCTGGACAGCCCTTGAATTGCAGAGAGGGTGATGGGAGACTGGGTTTCAAATACCTCCAAATGTTTGCGAGTTGTTTGTACTTATTGAGTGTTCGAAGCTCTTGTAGAGCCTTTGAGGACAGACCGTACAGACTCCATGCTTGGCCCCTTGCAGACGTGTGATCCTGTCCTCATCGGATTTGTTTTTTGGGATCTCTGCAGACCTGTTTGAGGTCAGCCGCACAAAACGTGCTCCCAGGAGGCCTTCTTTTGTGACTGCTACTTTTTTTGAGGCCAAAGCCTCCCAGGATTGAAATTTGTCGGGACCTTTCCAGGTTTTGCGAGGCTGACCTCAAGTCCGCAGGAATTGCCAAGAAAGTGTTTAGGTGCGATTCGACCCAAATTGATTTAATGCAGCATGTCAATGTGTGAATTTCATTTGTTTTATATAATTCAAATTTGATTAACAATTCCATCTAATGTAAAAAGGAAACATGTGTGCCATTTGAATTCAAGTTAGACATGTATGATTGATTTTCGATACAACTCGTGGCCATATAGACCTTGTAAAGCTCAATCAGAATTCAAAAAGCACTTAAAGCAAGTAATCCAGTCAACGATTCCGTTCAAGGTTGTAGAACTTAAATGAAATAAACTTAGCATAGGTGTATAATTTGTTTCCAAATAGGTTGTTCATTGGGACTCACTCAGAATTTACATAAGAAGTTTAATACGTACATTATTTGCGTAGAGTTTGCGCTTCAACTTCGAGCTAGAACATAAATGGGAGTTCCTTTCCAAATTGACATGTTGTTGCGCTTTAACTGGGTTTTAAACAGAGGTTAAGAAGGACATAGTTTTATCAGGATTCCTATTATAACTTAGACGAGAAATGTGAAGCTTTTTTCATACATTTTAAAGATAACTTTACTATACGGAAAGGACTTGACTAGAGTTTCCATTTCGATCTGGAATTCTAGAAATTCCTTTCCAATGGATTCAATTGATATTTGGTTAGAATTTAAGACAAATTTAGCACGGCCCATGGCCCAAATATGGGCCTTTTGTTTAGACTAGTTTCTAAGTATCTTTTGCTGAATTCTCCAAATGATCAGGTACTGTGAGGTGTTTCCTAAAAGTGCCCCCAAGGTGAAATCTGCCCCTTGTCGCCTTTTGTTTTCACATTTGTTTCACCCCTTTGTTGTGGTTGTCTCTTTCCATGTGGCTGTGGCTCAAAATTAAACATGAGGGTTACGCAGGTTTTGGTCCATGTTTCCACTTACCAGGGTTCCATTTTGGTACCGGTTTTTTGAGCCACAGCCATGTCTTTGTTTTGCACGGAAACTACCCCGGGCAACCCGCGACACCGGGGGTGCGACCGTGCTGGCCCTGAGACTCAACATAGTCACCGACCAAAATCGCAGCAAAGCTGGAATAGGTATTGGAATGGCATGGAAGAACTCGATTAAACTTGTTATGTTAAGTTAGAGTTCAATAAGGATTCCCTTTCCAAATGGATGTTTAGCGGATGCTTTACTAAAATCAATCATAAGTGGAATAATGTGCAATACAGGAAAGCGCAGTAAAATGTATTTTAGAACTAAGTTTAAAGCCAACAAGGAAAGCACACATTTCAACTCTGATTAGAAGTTAGATTTTGAACAGGAGTTCCCCTTCCTAGCTAGACATTTAACTCGGATTTTAGTAGAATGCTCATGGAATTATGTAAGGACGAGTTTGTCCAAATCTAGCAAGACATTATATTTTAAAGCTACAATTTAAATATGGTTCCTTGCCAAACAGGACCTTGAAATCCAATACAGAATTTGGACATAATCCAATAGGGAAAGGCTTCGCAAGAGTATTGCACACATGAAGTAGCACAGCAAATAATAGCCCGCAACACAGCCAATGCAAACATGTGCAATTGTCAAGGGAACATGCCGGTCCAGTAAGCATACCAGATACAGATCCGACATATTCGTCAAACTATGTTTTATTCTTTTTTAAATGGCGTCCCACCCTCTTAATTTGCTGTTATTTAAGAGACACATAGACAAATCACATGCTACATGGAGTACCTGAAATCTCAAGGATGGAGTTGCCGTGACAAAATGAGTTGGAGCCCTTCGGACATAATTCAGATAGTGTAATGGATGCCGGAGTTATCCGGAGTTGACTGCTTAGCGACTCAGATATTTTCTTCTCAAGACGATGCAGAGTAAGCAAGAAAGCTGGTTTCTAGATTGGACTCGCTGATATCTCGCGTCATGGCGTTCAACGGGAGCTTACCAATATGAGTTGCCGACGTACAGACACGTGGCGAGGATCTGCGCTGATCGCAGACATTGCAAGGCAAAGTTTGATGAACTAGATGTCGCTGTTCTATGAAGCAGGACCTTTGATCACTGCTCAGTGCTCAGAGATCTGCAGATTTGCAGACTGCAGCTTGCGCTGAGCCTGTAGATCTTGAAAGATAGGAACAATGGCAGTTGTTGCCCGTGAACGTTGTGGGACAGACAGAACAATAGGCCATGTAGATAGTGGAGCTGGGTTTATGAAAGCAGCACCTTGCATTTTCCTACTTAGATACGTTCGTACAAACCCTATGGGGTGGTCGGGTTATGGTGAACAGCTGTTTCCCATGTGAGCAAGCAAGTTGGCTTGAGGGTTCATTGTTGGTCCGTCATGTTCTGCAAATATGTATCCTAGAAATTCCCCTTGTTTCGTACATCTATATACCGTGAGACTGGGTTCTAGTTGGTCTTTTACGAAATCTTAAAATCGACAGGGATTGCCTATTGTATTACCAAATTTATCAAATGTTGATTGGTTTGTGTCCAGGGTCCTTTGGGAGGTGACTGGAACTTTTGCCATGGACCTTGAGCCTCGCTCTGGCTGAGCCTAGGAGCCTTGAAATGGGTTTCTTCGCAGCTTTGTGGCCAGGTTGCCAGCAACATCGAGCAGTTCCAGAAGCGCCTGACTGCCCTGCTGCAGCTTCAAGACGTCTGCTGGACTCAATTCCCAGGGTTTTCTCCGAGTCAAATGACCCAACCTTTGGGTCAGAGTCATAGGTCAGAGGTGTCCTTTTTGGTTGCTTTGCCTAAAAAATCGAGGGCGCGGGTTTACCTGGTGGTCATCTACCATGGCCATCTATTATCCAAAAAGGACACCTATGCTTTGGGTAGAAAGTTGGGATTCTCTCATCAGTTCGACCCGTTTACGGTTCAGCCAAAGAGCAACTGGCTGGCCTACGCCAACGTTTTTGAAATCCCGCTCAGGGGCCAAAATTTCAATCTAGCCTGTTGCTTGGTACCATTGTGGCTTTGCTTAAAGGAGAAAGCTGCTCGTACGCTTCTGGGCGACAAACTGAGCGACCTCAGTCCAGGTGATAAATGCTCTTTTCTTGGAGGTCCCTTGATTCAAGCGGGCGTCTTATCCTTCGGCCAGAAGGCTTGGCGTACCCAGTGGTCACATCACATCACCCCTAAATTGGTGACTTGGATTGGTTTCGATTTGGATTTGATCCCCAGTTCCTCTTTTTTATCACATACCCCCGAACCCAGCATGCAATAAGCTCAAGGTGTCCCTGAGATTCGTGAACGGCCTGGATTTCCAGCTCTTGCCGCAGTGCAATGTGAAGTTCGATCAGGAGCCATGTTGGACCCGTCAGTCCAATGGGAGTCCGAGTGGCAAAGCCGGAAGCGCCATACAGTCGGAGCTAGCCCCACCTAAATCGCCTTGTTGCCCTTTGTCAAAGGGTTGGGGTACAGGAAATTCTACAGGAAAACAGCTTACTTTGGGTGTTTTGGGGACATTTCCTGTAGATTTTCCTGTAACCAAACTCTTTGACGTTTGGGCTTTTTCGCGTCCCCCTTGCAACTAGGAGAAAGTGCTTTTTTTTGGTTGCGTTGCAGCAGCTCGAGGTCCGGCCAAGACAGTAGAAGCGCACGGTCCAAGGGGCGGGAGGGAGGGATGTCACTGCACTCATTTTAGGGTTAGAAACCAGTTGGCCTGGCATGGCAACATTTGCAAGTGTGTATGACCTGCCACACATTGCTGTAAACATTGATTAAGAGGAGATATGTTTCTTTTTTACAAACTTGCCAGATGCCGGCTGGAATCAGAAGCACGTAGGCGTGCATTTGCACCAGTTTCCGGATCTTCCGACACGCACCCATGAGTATCTTGTGTCGAATTATGCAGATTCGGAGCCCAATTGCAACCAACACATGAGTGACTGTGGAGTTGTTCCTATCAAGGAACATGAAGGGCAGAACCCCCCCCCATGCTTTCCAATCACAAGGGCTCTGAAACTGTATTGCAGCGTGTGTGCGTGTGTGTGTGTGTGTGGTGTGTGTGTGGGGGTGGTGTGTGCGTGTACGCGTTTTTGTGCATGTTGACAGGATGTGGGTAGCGAAATCTCGGGCTTCGAAGAGAACGGCGGGGTGATCACCATCAGCGGCTTCCATTCCACGGAAGGCTTGCGTGCTACCAGCAAGATAGCATGGGATTTCTCCCCGCCGGGGATCCCTTTTTGGATTGCTTTAAAGGGAAACCGAAAGGAAACCACCTCGAGGAATTGGTCGCCCCAAAACTGAGAAACACCCGTGTGAGTCTCTCGTTTTGGGGCAAGGAACCACAAACCAGCTTCCCGGTTTTGAAGGGAGACCAAAGGAAAGCACTCATTCTGGGGTCCCCCAATTTTGGGACAAGGCCGTATTGCTACACAGAGCCGCCTGCCTCCGACAATGAGGAACACATGCTTGGCAGACAGACAGACACAATCTACGCGACTAACAACTAACAACCAATACAGTCAAACACTTGCTACACACAAACACACAATCGCAACAAACACAACACACAAAGATGATTAACACACACGCAGCACAAACGACATAAGCAAGATAAGCAAGAACAATCACATTCAACCACACACACACAGCACAGACAAAATACACAAATCAATCAATCAAACAAACATTCAAGCAAGCCAACAGATAATCAACAAGACAAAGCAACGAAGAACAACTTACAAGTCAACAGTTAAACACACAAGCAAGCAAGCAAATAAACACAAAAGAATGCACGGAATGAAACAGCCGAGCAACCAAACACACAAGCAAACAAATTAACAAACAACAATCACACAATAAAACAAACAGTCAAACAAGCCAACAAATCCACAAAGAAAAGCAATCCGACCAACATTCAGTCAAATGAGCAAGTACACCAACAAACACACAAGTCAACAATCAAACAAACAAGTCAAACAAACAAACAAACAAGCATACAAACTAACTAACAAGCAAGCAAACAAGCAAGCAAGCAACCAAGCAAGCAAACTCACAAACAAGCAAGCAAGCAAACAAACAAACGAGCAAACACACAAACAAGCAACACGCAAACGCACAAACACACAATCAAACAGGACACCAAGCAATCAATCAAGCAAACCAAGCACGTAAACAATCAACCAAACAAACACAGTGCAAGCAAGCAGCCCAACCGACAAGTACACAACGATGGAAACACAACGAAAACAAACAAACAAACAATAAAGCAAGCAAGCGAGCACACAAACCAACAATCAAACACTGACAAAGGAGAGACAAGCACACACACAGATGCGCACACACACACAGACACGCAACACAACACAAACTGCACACAACAAGCACTCAAGCACATGTACAAACAAGCCAAACCAATACCAAACATTAGCATGACAAATCAGACAAAACAACCAAGCACAGACACAAATACACACACAGAGAAACAAGCAAACAAACAAACAAACAAACAACCAAGCAAACAAACAAACAACCAAACAAACAAACAATCACACGCAGACATACAAAACAAACAAACAAACAAACAAACAAACAAACAAACAAACAAACAAACAAACAAACAAACAAACACAAACATACAAAACAAACAAACAAACAAACAAACAATCAAACAAACACACAAACAAACAACCAAACAAACAAACAAACACACAAACAAACAATCACACGCAAACATACCAAACAAACAAACAAACAAACAAACAAGCAAACAAACAAACAAACAAACAAACACACAAACACAAACACATAAGTAAACAAACAAACAAACAAACAAGCAAACAATGAAACAACCAAACAAACAATCAAGCAAGCACACAAACACACACAAAAAACACACAAAAAAGCAATCAGGCAAACAAACAAACACACAGACAAACAAGCAATCAACCAAGCAATCCGCCAAGCAAATCAAACAAACAACCAAATAAATAACCAAGCGACGATCAAAAACAATTCCAAATCAACTCCATGGAAAACATCACAAACTAAAGCAAATCACCCAGACGCACAAGCAACCACAAACAAGCAAGCAAGCAAGCAAGCAAGCAAGCAAGCAAGCAAGCAAGCAAGCAAGCAAACAATAAACAGACAAGCCACACAAACAATCACACACAACACACAGTCAAACAACCAATCAATCAATCAATCAAGCAAGCAAGAAAGCAAGCAAACAGAGACCAACATACAAGCACGCAAGAAAGCAAGCCATCGATCAAGCTAGCAAGCTAGCTAGCCAACAAGCAAGCAGACAAACAAGCAAGCAAGCAGTCAAGCAGTCAAGCAATCAATCAAGAAACAACCAACCAAACAACCAAGCAACACAACAACCAAGCAACACAACAACCAATCAAGCAACCACACCAACCCGAGCAAATCAAAGCAAAGCAAGGCGCATGCAAATCAAGCAAGCAAGCAGGCAAGCAAGCAAACAATCAAACAAGCAAGCAAGCAAGCAAGCAAGCATGCAAGACACAAACAGACACAAACACACAATCAAACAAACAATCGAGCAAGCAAACAATCAAACAGACAAACGATCACACATGCAAACTAGCAAGCAAGCCAGCAAACCAGCAACTCAGCAAACAAAATCACAAACAATCACACAAACGAACAACACTATAACGCAAAGCAATGCCAAAGACTGCAAAAGAAACAAAGCAAGCAAGCAAGCCAGGAAGCAAGCAATCAAGTAGACAGACATGGTTTGTTGCTTCCGCAGGCCCTGCGCAGCAGGCAGGCGTGTGTTGGGCTAGCTTTCCTGCGGATTCGACTGATGTCAATGAAGGGCGCTGGACAGTTGTTTTTTGCAAGTTGGCGTAGTGCAAGGAACTAGCCATGAAGTATGGTAAATTAGAGGGTGTTTTCTGTTCTCGAGGGTGTGACTTGGGACTCTTTGGGTTGCACCTTGCTTGCTTGAGGTTAATCACAGGATGAGTCACGCAGAGCAGGTGATTGATGCGTAAAGTCAAGTTGAACAGTACCATAAGCATCAGAGAATCTTCCTTCAGGCTACCCTCAGAGATGCAGAAAGGTGAAGAGCAGAAAAAAGGATCTCCAAGTGCCACCAAAAAGGCTACCACTTTTGGGCTGAACTGCTAAAAGCAACCTCACTGTTTGCAAACTTTTGTCGCATGAAGAGTCCAAGGGTTGACTCCCTGCCATGCTCACTGATCGTTCTAAGCACAAGGCATGCTCCGGAATGCATCATTCACTTCCACTGTGAGCGACGCTTCTCCTGTCGTCCGATTTCCCAAGAGCGTTGATGACCTTTGATAGTCCTTTGATGAACATCCGCAATGGCCGCAGCCAGTTACGTACAGTTTGACAACTGTGTCGTTATTCAGTAGCATTCAGTGGTGTTTTGATGCTTCGAAGGTTGCGTAAGTTTGCGCACTGCTTACTTGTAGCCTATCTAAACACATCATGTATAACACTTTGCACGTGGAACTCTCAAGACGTAAAGCCTCTCGCGACCGCCCCGTGGTTTGACACAGTGCTTTGTGTTCAGCTTCGCAAGCTGCTTGCACGCGCTCACACACAAACCGGTGAAACCACTTCGCGAAGGCTAGCTAAAATAAATTGGCCAGCTGAAAACAAACCGAAGCCACCCCGCGAAGCCACTCCGCGAAGCCACCATCTTGTCGGGAAGCTTGCCGAAGGCAGCCCTTCCACAGATTCTGGGCCTGCGAAGCCCCCACAGGCTCCCCGGCATGTGACATCCCATGGCTCAGGGTTGTCGATCGTCGATTGGCGCGAATGAAGTCGAGCTATGCTACTGTGGATGAACAAAAACATGCACCAGTTGGGATGGATGAACAACCCTATGAGTACTGGGATAAGCCAACTACCAACTGGAGTGCCGAGCCTCAAGCAGAAGCCGAGCCCAAAACGAACCGACAAGAAGAGCGTCCCCCACACACCCCCAACCCCCCCCCCTCGCTTCCTCCGCTTGCGAGGCAGGCACCCGGAAGGGCTGGCAGCTGAACTTGCCGGAGACTTTCCAGCTGCCCATCAACAAGGCCAAGCTGCAAGAGCTGTCCCAGGCCGGGCGGCGGCGGAGGCAGCGGAGGGCTCGGGCGCCTTTGGATTGCTTTGTTGGGGCTTCGAAGTTTTGAGTCCCTTCAAAGGAAAATGGTCTTCCAGGACCCCCCCTGTCATGTTCCATTAAAGTCAACAATTATACACCAAAAATATTTGTAAAATTAAATTATATTGTAAACAAGAGTATAAGAGCTGTAGTTGTATTTAATGTGTATTAATGTCATTTATGCAACAATTTATACAAATAACCAAAAACACAGATACCGGCTGGTCCCCGAAAACTTTGATTTGCTGAGGGGAACATTTGCTATTTCTCCCTTTTTGGCTTAAAGGGAATCTATCACTACCGGACATGTTGTTTTATTCCAGGGACTTAAGCAAATGGAAGGAAAAGGAACAGCCTCCCAGAAGCAGGAAAAGGGAAGTTCGGCGCTACGCCCTCGTGTGGTGGGGGTTTGGAGAGAGGTGCGTACAGCTGCTTTTTCTTGGACTTTACGAGTACCGAGGCAGAAGACTTTGGACGGCCGTCACCTTCCAAACGACAGAATTCACCCGTCAAGCCCAACATGTGTTGGGGACAAGTAGACACAACTCGCCACAAAGTAAAGATGCGTCTGGAAATTGGGGACCCCACATTTTGTTGCGTTCCTTTTGCTGCTTTCGTTAAACTGGCCGAGCGCCAAACAAACATTGCCCAAAAGAAAGGACACCAACATTGGCCGTGCTTTTCGGTTTACGGCAACACATGACGCCCAAAAGTCGGGTCGTGTTGGTAACTGAGACAGTCAGAACTTGGCAGATTCCACTCGCGAAATAAATACAGTCTTTCAGGGAGGCCAACAGATGTCATGTTAAGAGGAGGGAAAAGTGTAAACCACCTGGCGGAGGAACTTCGCTTTGAGACTTTCCTCTCCAAGCCTTATGATTGTTTCCTTGGCAAAGGTGTTCTTTCCCCGCATTGAGGCAAACTATACTGGTAAGACATGTACATAGCCGAATGTTACCTTTGGGCTTTCAGTGTGTTGAAGGAGAAATCGCAAACCACCCGAAGCCTTTGTGCATATCTCAGACCACAAAACACAACTAATCGTGTTTAACTCCGAAAATCGTGGCATAGAGAGGGACAAAGAGACAGAGCGGAACAGAGCGGAACATGAAGAAGTGTAGACAGAACAACGCGTATTATTTCTTGAATGCTGCGGCTGTATCGTGTTTGTTTAGCACATTTCTTTGGAAAAGAGAGTCATACATTGGTGCGTTGGCTACAGTTTTGAAGTGAACAAGGAAATGTGAAAACATTCATGCCTAACTTTTGTTCCAGCGTCTTCTTGTTGGTCATGACAGCATATCATTGCGCCTGACAGTGTCTTGGAAAGCTGGCAATGCCTCGGCCGATTTGTCTCGAACCCTGAGCTGAACCTGTTGAAGCACATTATTTTAGTTCTAATTGAGAAAGGTATCACTTCTTGCAGAGAGTCTACTCCTTTATTAGAAAGGCACATTTCAACGTGTCAGTGTTGTTTTATAGTTGGGATGCAACCGACGTGTTACATTTGACATGTTACTATGTTATGATGAAAGAAGCTATGACTCATTTGCAGACAGTTTTCTCAATGGTTGGTAGCCTTCTGATGTGTTGACAAAACCTAGCATTGGTTGTTTGCTTTTGGTTTTCTTGCTCACAACCCCAAAAGGGGGTCCAAGTCCAATTTGCACAAGAGCAAATATGTTGCTCAAGAGCTAATTCCAACCATTACTACCTTGCGATTTAACATGAAATCCCCGAACTCCTCATTTGTAACGGGTTTTCTTGACTCTTCCCGGACCCCTTGCGGGCTCCTTCCATGTGATTTTTGTTTGCCGGGGTGCCATGAGGGCCAGGATTGGGCAAGCCATGCGAATTCGCAGCGCGGGCGGCGGTCCGTTCCTTAGGAGGCCATCATCAAGGACCCCAGCCAGTTGCTCTCGCTCTCCGAGGCCGGAGGGCTGACGTGAACTTGTCCGGTATGAGATAGGATACATCTGACGTGCGTTACTTGACCCAGATGTTTTGCAATCAATATATATATATAGACATATATATATAATATGTTATGGACAATTATACATATATAACAACATATATGTGGGTTCAAATTCAAGTCGGATCCTTCAAATTCTACATACGAGTTTCTTTCCAAGTAGGCGTTTAAGTAGAAATCAATAATGACATTTAATCAGATTTCAAACAAAACTTGACTGGAGTCCAGTAGGGAAAGACAAGCTGGTTGTTTCTTCTAAGTAATTCAATTACGCATATTGGTTTGAATCCGATTTTCTGTCCAAGTACTGCATCCAGGATGTGAATCAAGCTGGTTGTTTCTTCTTGTTAAATTTTACAGAATCACTACACTCAGCTAGATGTTGAATAGGAATTATTTAGAGATCTTATTAGTTTTGGATCTGCCTGTGCGAATGTGCCTGCAAATAGGAGGTCCTTTCCAAGTAGGACTTTAGCTAGAATTCAATTCGACATTAAACAGAATCTAGCAAGGAAAGTCATGCTGGTTGTTTCTTCCGATTTGCCTGCCCTTAAAAGGGGAACCCCTCAAAGACAAGAACATTCGATTAAAAACAAGAACAAACACAAACCGCAAAAAGTCATGATGGTTTTCTCGAGGTGTTGTTTTGTTTTTTGCTCGAGCTTGTAGTGTATTTGTTTATTTGTTTGTTGTTTTCTGATTTTTAATCAAGTGCTGTTACATCTTTGGAAAACAACTCATGTTGAAGGAGCTCTGGCAACATGGTTACTTGGTTTCGTTGTAGCCAAACAAAGGAAACAGCACTGCTGTTTCCTTTGTTTGGCTACAACGAAAGAACTAAGTAACCATGTTTCCAGAGCTCCTTCAACATGAGTTGTTTTCCAAAGAGTTTCCGAATCATGACTTTATTGTTTTTTTGTTTTTATCGATGTTGTTATTTTTTTCTCGAGGTTTCTTGTTTCCTTGTGGTGTTCTCAATGTTGTTGTTCTCTAATTTGTGTTGGTTGTGTTTGGGCTTGTCACTATTTTTCCCCTGCATTGGTTGGAGTTTGGCAATTGACCAGCTTGACTCACGGGGAGACCGCAAGCCTCAAACACGCAAACAGCACATTACCATTGTCCCCGCACCGTGTCATCCATGCCCTGCTGTATTGGTTCAGCATTGGTTTCACTGCCCAAAGGGGCAGCCACAGAGCAGTTCTTGTAGCAGACCCAAGAGAAGCTCGCGGCGATCCCCTGTCAACAAGCCCAATGGGTCGTTTCTGCGTGAGTCTCAAGCATCTTCCAAGGCCTAAAGTTTGACATGGTGTACTGGCCAACCGAATTGCGAAACCACAAGAATGAACACATTCGAGTGAGACTGTCCGAAAGACCTAAAGCAAGTGAAAGCGGCAGCATGCAGCGACTGGATCAGGAGATTATTGGTTGCTTCCTCGCAGACCATCAACAAAGATAGTTGATCAGCTTTGTTTTTTTCAGATGAAGGATCTTAGTTTTGGGGGAGGGGGGAATTCCCAAAGGTCCCCGCGAAGGCACTTGTGTGATACTTTGTGTGCCGCGAAGATTCGCGAGGCCGAAGCCCTCTTCAAAAGGAAATTAACAGGTTGATGCTTCAACCTCCAGTTGGTTCCCCACTCAAGCAGGAGGACTTCTTTAAAGATTGGTAGTGTCCCTGTCGGCTTGGTGCTGAAACACCCGCAGGCAAACTCCTTGTTTTTTTTAATCTTTTTTTCGAGAACCCTTTCATTAGCAGCCCCAAAAATGTGGTCCCGTTTTTGCTGTTCCTGAGAGAGTTCCCCGTGCTCGGCGGACTCGGCGGATGGAGGTGATGCTCATCTTCGAGCCCGCCGCCTTCGAGCCGGAGCAGTACTTCAAGGGCTCGGGGCAGGCGACACATTCTTCGCCGTCGCGCTTCGAAGCTGGGGGGGGGGGTAAACGAAGAACCAAGCAAGCAAGCAAGGCGGGGCAGGCAAGCAAAACAGGTAGCCTTCTGAATCTGTTGATTTCCTATCCTACAAGAGTGGATGTTGGCAGAGACTCCAGTCAAGCAGCTGAAATACCAGTAATAATCACAAGTGGCGGGCAGTGATTGGCAGTGCTTAGGTAGCAAGAGAGGAAGGGCATGATACCTCATGGGCCTACGCCAATGCGAAACCGGTTCTATGGCAGCACCACGCCAATACGAAGAAATGATGCGCATACTCAACAATAACTAAGCCAGTGGAGAAGAAAGGAAGTGCCAATACCCAACTTACAACACTAAGCGTGGGCCCAGTGCTCAAACTTGAATAATCACTAAACAAATAGAATCAAGTTCAACTACAGCAGGAACGACTATACAAGTCAAAGCAAAGCATCACCCTTGAATCAGTGGTTGGGCTCCAAAACCCCGTGCATATCTAGCCGCTCTCACATTTGCTCGTCTATTTCCAAATCCGCAGCCAGAAAGCGTGAAGGGTTTTGAGGAGAGAACGGTCCCAGCGGTCTTTTCTCATCCCAAACGCTGAGAACACAAGATGGTTCTACTAAACTATTGCCAAACAATACGTTCCAAAACTCGTTCTGGCCAAACTACCCTCCTTACCCTCTAAGTTTGTTTTGGGGGAGGGGGACCAACACCCCCTGAAATTCGTCATAAATCCCCCAAAAATGATGGAACGAGTCGCTCCAGACGCAAGATTTGCTCCAGGGCCCGTGGACGAAGTTCACCGTACCGATCAACACGGCGCAGTCCCTTGGGTCCGGACATCGATTCCGGGGCCCGCGTGCGAAGGGGCAGAGGACAACCTTTTGGTCCACCGGAGCAAAGCGATCAGTAAAAGAGATGGGAGCAGCACGCTCAATGGCATTCGCAGAAGCAAGCTGCCATCCATTTGGGGTATGGCAAAGGATTGTGCGGTTGGTGTGCAAGAGAACATGACATGTTGCAGCCAATTAATCAGAATTAACCAGGTATCCTTTTGCTTGCAGTTGCATTCAGCTTTAGGGGGGTTTCCGAGAATGTTTCTCCATGGCAAGAAGAGGTGGAACACAACACCTTCCAAGCAGGGGCATGGACAGCCACTTGTGTCCGCTTACCAAACCAGTACTTAACCACCACTCCATGGTATTGGGCTATGCCTGCATGCGGTGCTGCACCCGACAGATTTGTTTGGCTCTGGAGTTCTGAGTTGCACCAACGTGGGCGTATTTCTAGGGGTTGATTCCCCACCATCGTTCTTTTCAAAAACCGACAGTTTCCCCTGGGTTTGTGATGGTTTCCTGAAAAGAAGGATCCCTGGAAAGAATGGGGAAGGTACCCCTAGACTATTTGCAAATGTGCCCCCCCCCCTCCCCCCACCTCCCAACTGGGTGGTCTCTCTGTTTGGCTTCCTTTGACGCGGCCTGAAAACGGGACCCGTGCTGCTCCGGTCTGATTGCAGAACATATCTTCCAGGTATTATGGCCTCCGTCCAAATGGGGGACCCTTGCCAATTCTCGGCGTCTTGTTGGTGTTTTTGTTCCCCCTCGTCCAAGAAGGGTTCGATTGTGACACATCACCTATATTGCCAGTTCCTGCCACATTGATTGGCTTTATGTCCAACCTGAACACCTTCAAAACCCTGCCAGTTGCTTTTTCTCGGCTCCTGACCGGGCTGACTTGAGTGCAGGCAAGCCAAAAGATTGTGAATGCCGGCGCGAGTGGGCGCGGACCTTGCCCATGGAAACACACTGCATCATAAAAACTTTCTTGCCTGTCGACCCTTTTTCACCGTGGAAATCCCAGGTTCGTCTTTACTACGGATGGAGATCGGGGTGCCTGGAGCAGAAACAACGACCCCAAGCTGCGCTACGGATTCCTGGCAGCGCCCTGCCAAGGAGAAGTTGCAGTAGATCCTTTTTCTCCTTTTGTTTTGTGGGCTCCCCAACAGGGCTACTGGGCAATTTTTAGCCGCAGAATAGTAAGCCGCTTCATTGTTCTTCAGGAGCTAGCATGTTCAGCTGTCATTGATTCAACGCCAGAGCTGCAAGGCTCGAATTCGAGTTGTCTCATTGCCTGTCCCAAAGCCTTCCTTTCTCAGAAGCAAAGCACCCGGCAACTCTACATGCCCGTTTGTAAGCCCATGCCCATCAAGCTTTCCTGGGATTTGCCGGACTCAGTTGAGTTGGGCACGTGTTTGTGTTGGCTGTTTTGGAGAGGCCAATGTCTGCAGGTGTAAATACACGAAGCTAGCTTGCTTGTTTCGGGAAGACTGCAACATGTTTAGCGTATTTTGAAAGGACATCCACCGATGGTATATGTGTTGCTGATCTGTTGTGCAGCTTTTAGCGTTGCTTGATTTTTTGCCTGAAAGGAAATCCAGCGCTGGAATGTATGTTCATATGTTGGTGTTGTAGCCCTTGCAATCGGACGGGCTTGAAGCAGGGAAGGCATGGAGACCGCTCTGAGGTCGTCACGCCTGGCGGCGCCAAGGCTCCGCCAGAGGACTCTCGAGATGGGCGGCAAGAGCCCCCAACTGTGTGGCACCCTTTGGCTTCCCCACACGAAGGGCTTCCCTTGTTTGCTGGAACCAGGGGCCGCGCAAACCATGTTTTTTTGGGGGGGCCCTTCTTGCAGCCAGCTCATGGGGCGGTTCGGCATAAAGAAGGCCTCTGGCAGTCCGCTGTTCAGTAGCTTGGGGGGCACGGCTTCGTTTGGGGGGTTGGATGATTGTGTCGCCGTTTTCAAGGATAGGGTTGCTCAAAGCCTTAAAATGGCCAAACCATGCCAAAATGGGAATTGGGCGGTGCGTCAACGGTTTTTCCTTCGCATGGATCAAGTCAATGAAAGCTACTTTTGCTCAGCCGTGTGTCCAACTTTCCTCACTTGTGAAAGTTTTGTTTTTTTGGCAACCCTGAAGGAGAAGGTGCAAGAGCTCATGGAGAAGTGGGGCGACAAGGCCGGCAATCATGGAGAGATGTGCAAGGATCATGACGGTCCGTCTGATTTGGATGGCTCCTTTGGTTTTTGGTGGTTTGGGGGTGGTTTGGTCTTGGGTGGTTGGGTCTGTTTGAGTTGGATTTGATAGGCATCAAAAAGAATCCTCACTAGTCTCTGGTATTTCGAGCCCACAGTTGTTGAATCATAGCGAGTTAAGCTTAAATCGCATCGTTTCCTTCGTTGAGACATCGCATATATTTGTTGTTTTTCATCTGAAGAATTTCAGCGGCAGCACTTTGCGCAATGTGACTTGGTGGCATCTGAAGAATCTCGCGTGAGCGTTGTAAAGTGTTCCTGGTGCCTCGGAACAATGACAAACCACCCACTGCACATTACCGGGGGGGGGGGGGGCTCTTTGAAGGTAACCAGCCATCCTTCTTTGATTTTAGCTTTAACGGGTACCATGGGTACCACGCAGAGCTGGCTTCTGCAACTTTTGAAGCCGTGTTTTGCAGATGCACTTTTTTTTTTTCTCCCGCCAAGAGCGATGTCCCCCAAAAGGTTCCCTTTCGGAATATTCACACCAATATCACCCAAGTGATATGCCCCAAAAGCTTCCTTATCATACAGTTATCATAGAATCCACACCCTTATCACCCATATCTAAAAAAAGGAAAGAAAAGCCACACCCACATTATTATACATTTCACATCAATATCACCCGTATCTAAAATAATTGAGTAAAACACGGTGTTCCTAAGTGAGTGGTCTGCCATTTTTGCCCCATATCCAAAATATATCTAACCAACTTGCTGGCTCGACAAGCAGGGAATGAACCATAGAATGACCCCAAGAGGAAAAAAAGAAAAAACAACTCCATTTTTCCGGGGTTGGTTTCCTTTCGGGAATTTTCGAAGGGTTTCTTCCACGTCTCCTCCCCCGAAAGAAGTCGCCGCCCGGCTGCGGCCGGCGGATTCGGATGGCTTCGCTTCGAGGCCACGAAGGCCAGCGGCATGCGCTCGAAGATCACCCTGGAGCCCGAAGACTGGGATGAGGCCTTGAGTCGGGGGATGAGTCGGGGGAAAAAGAAGGGGGAAGGTCGAGATTTTGAGAGGGCAAACCCCTGGTTTGATTCTTGCGTGTGTTCTGTGGTCCTTGGTTCTTTCGCTTTTCTGAAGGGAGTCCTCAGCAGAAGAAATATCCGGCATGCAGTCAGCACTAGCGTTAGTTAGTGCGATACAATTTAAAATAAACAACATCACAATAACCTAAGTCAAGAAAAGTAAAATACCGCGCATGTGTGACAAGCTGAGCAATCGAGAGTGGAAATCAGAACTAAATGATGGAGAGGAGCCCGCGATGAAAAAAACCGGCTAGAGGCTTATTGGGAAATAGGAACTAAAGTAGTAGACTTGGAATTGCAATCATAGAGCTCCAGAACAGAGCGTAATTTTCATCAACACAACGTGCTTATGATGGTGAATTATAGTGCATGCTTATTATGCATGCTTATGATGCATGTTTGCACCCGAATTTAAAAAGAGTGCAGGCTTGCAGGTTTGTTGTCTGGTTTTCTGTTATTTTTCTGTGGGGGGGGCTTTACACCTTAGAATGAAGTACCAAGGAACAGGGTGCTGGAGGTCTGGGAAATCGCGCAGGACACTGGAAGGGACATTTAGATGTCAACTGACGGCAGCGCAAACGGCCACAAGACGAACTGGAGCAGCTGAGGCTCAAAATTGGATGGCGCACCGCCCCCCCATTTCAGTTGAATGTCCCCATTCTTACCCACAGAAATGGAGTTGTGCCATCTTCTCTCAGCGAAGTGTTGCCTGGTCTTTGCGTTAAAGATGGACGCAGTGTAGACACGACCATCAGCCAGGTGTGATTCCGGAGTGCCCTCGCGCATCATGTTAGGTGGTTGTCAATGTAAGTTATCAAGAGGTTTTGCATATGGGTACCTTTAGGTTCGTTTAAACCCAAAGGGAGCCGGACATTTGGGTTACCCCAGGCGCCAAGCCCGGAGCAATCCGAGCGGACAATCCCAATCCTCCCTTTTAGCTCTTTACATGGCTTGGGGCTGAAACCTGTCATACCAGGTTTTGATGACTCAAGTGTTGTCCCCTTCGGTTTGTCGGCTTTGCGTTACCAATTTTCAAGGTTTAGTCCTCCCCGAGGAGATTTTGTCATGAGATTGCACTGCTCGCTTGGCCATAGCCTGATATATACCTTGACTCCGCATGGCTCCGCAACTATCGCATCGGATGCTCAACTTGCCCAGCTCTCTGCATGCATCCTCATGAGTATTGAGGCAGGCGACCCCGGCCCATGAGACCGTTTTTGTCTGTTGAAAGGAGGTGCTTCTTGGACTGCGTGCATACAGCTACAGCGGAAGCCCTAAATATTGCAAGTGCAGCCAAAGCACATGTTGACACTGCTTCTGTGGCATCGCCCGCTGCGTGCGGACCCCTCTCCCTCAGTTACAATGTTGAACCCATGCGCGTAACACGTCTTCCAAGTCCCAATATATTGCAAGTTCAACATTGTATCAAGGGAGGGGGGGCCGCAGATGCCATGTCGCAGTGCATGTTTTCGTGGACGGTGCCCTCTGTTTTCTCTGCTCCGCACTTGCAATATTTAGGGCTTCAACCGTAGCTCGACGTCTTAGGGGATCACTTCAACTTTTGGTGACTTCCATGTTGCCTCGGAGCCAGGCTCGGCTGCGGGCGCTCTGCGCTCGGCACGGCTGGGAGTTCGAGTGGATGACTGAGGAGCTGGTTCGAGCGGAATTCGCGATTGGTTAGTGGGATCCTTTTGGAGGGAACGACCCAGGGTGGGAATGAACCCAGTCCCTCAAAGGAAACCACAAGGGGTGGTGTATGGGGTCATTTCCTCATTTCCGGCTGAGCACCAGCAATTTGTCTGATATGGGTGTGAATTTTAATGGGGGGATTCTGTATACTTGGTTTGGGATTCGCGTCCAGCCACTCCCCCCTTTTATTATGGTGCCACAATTATTGTTTATTGTATAACATGGACGTTTGGACCTATGTGTTGTTTTCACAGTAACCAAATGCGAACCCATACGGACCATAGTTGTCCTGATTTGCTGAATATGTGAATACTAGTTGATACCTCGACGAGCCACCAAATATGGGCCGTTGTGGGCAATATGTGTTATGGTTCACTGAATACGTTCATGCTAGTTTATGCTTAAAGGGCTACTCAACATGGAAGATAATGTCTTGGTTTACCAAGCATGGTTGCTCAACAGCTCGGAACCGAAAGGGGAGGTTGTTCAACATATTTTCCAGACCCCATATTTGACACCCGGCACTTTTCGTATGCAGAAGCTAGCCTCCCTGATTTTCATGGACGCGTTTTCGTACACGTCGAGACAACATGTACCCGAATGTGGTGAAGGTGTCTCCCAAGGCGGTCCAGCAGACTGTAAAGGTCTGGAGGTCTGTCAGCAGTTGATGCATGCGTTGCCAATGGGACGGTGCGAAGCGTCAGTTCTGGAAGCTTTGTTGTCGTCATTGAACGCTACCCCCTACTCCAAATACCATCTTTTTTGGGGTATGATGGTGACACTCTACTAAAAAAGGTGGTATTTACCTTGAAAACCAGGTTTTCCAAACAATACCCTAGAAAAAGTGGGTATTTGGAGTAGGGGGTAAAGTGGCTGGAAGACAATCTGTTCACTGTTGTTGGATTAGGGGGGAAATCAGACTTCCCAGATATTCGCCCTTGATGTCCACGAGGGCTTGACCCCACGTTTCCTCAGAATGGATTGGATCCTTTCTTTAACCAGTGTTTTGAGATGGGTGGGTTGCCCACAAACACCAAAAAAGGGTTCCAGCTGGGCTGTGGTTGGACCCAGCAGGCCTGGCTTTTGGGCGCGTAAAGCAAAAGGTGGGATTTCGGGTCAAGCACCAGGTTTTGGGAAAATCGAAGCAGGACGGCGAGCGACGGCGCCGTATCGAGGGCGCTCAGCGCGCGCGTGACGGGGCTGCAAGACATTGGCGGGGCTCCAGTTCGAACGCTGGTTTGGAGTGGTTCTCGCATGTTCCGGGTGCGATGAACTTGTTGTCACGCTGTTGCCAACCATGTTGCGCCCTGGAAACCTACTTTGCTGATCTTGTGTGCGATATTTGGATAGACCAGTCTGCATGGTGTTGCTGGTTGTCTTGCAAAGGGCCCTATTTACCCTTTTATAGATGCCGCTGGAGGCATCGGGTCGGTTGAGTGTGTCGAAGCTTGGGATCCAAAGTCTCGTGGAAGCATCCCGATCCCGGGCGATCTGAGCCCCATGCCGAGATCTGGAACAGTTGCAATTCGTCCATGCTTGACATTTGCGCATGGGAAACGGGGGTTGAAATGGCAAGTGAAAAGAGAATTAGAATTAATAGGGATCCTTTGTGCCACTTCATGCTTGCTGATGATTGTAAGTGTGCAAGAATCATAGTGACTAATGACCTCATTTCCCGCAGGGGATGATTTACAACGTTTGGCTTGAAACTGGCGTATGGCACCTGCAAAGCAGGCTCGATTTATTGGAGCTTGACAAACCTTGTGAAGCCGGGGCTGTCTTGAATTCGAAAATGACTGCAGATACTCTCCTTCAATGATCGAGGAACCCTAAACGCCATTGATTGTTGGAACAAGCTCGTTTCTGGGCACCTTGTTTTGGGCTTCATATCTGGGAAGTAGGCAAGCAGGCAACCTTGGGGATGAGCAACTGTTCACAGAGAATAACGATCCCAACCCAAGCCGGCGGGTTCCCACTACACTTAGACTCAACCCAAACATAAAGATCCAAAGATGGTCAAGCCCAATCAGGGTTCTTTTCGTCTAGCGTTCAGGTTCCTGCGTGTCACTGGGACCAGCTTTCTAGGCTAAAGAGTGCGAAAGTCGTTTTTTGCAGAGGCAAAGTCGCGCAGAAGTGCACCAAGAAGGAGCCGAGGGAAGAGTGTGGTCGTTTTTTTGTTTTGTTTTCCTTTTCCGAACGCTTCTGAAAACCCCTTTAAGGGGAAGTATGGGGCTAGGGGGCCCGAATTGGGGCCCTTTCCTGTTCAACAACCACTCAATGGTCCAAACGTCTTTGCGTACGCGAGTTTCGCTAGGATTGATAGAACATGTGGGGCGTGGCTTTGTTGTTATGGCCATGCTCATACAGGGCAATAGCCGCGGTACAGATGCCTCTGAGGTGACAGGGTCCAACATGATCCTCACCAACTGGTTTAGGTTTTAGGCCTGAGAGTTTCCCTGGCCAACACATGTTTGTCATTGAAGACAAGTTCAAGTTTGGCAAGTTGACTTCTGGATCGCAACTTGAAACCACGTTAGCCTCGGTGTCCTACCCGGGCTCGTTTGTTTCAACTTGTGGATCAAGCCTTTGATGTGTTCAATAACTGATTGTTTACAGGATATACATAAGACGTGGCAGGCAACCTTACATTTGTCATGAACATATTTGCATCCATGCAGTGGAGCCGTTGATAGGCATCATATTTGGTGATTGGCTTCGCATGGAGCCTCTTGCACCTAGACAATGCCTGCTTCTTGTGGAGCACATTGACTCACATTGCTGGATTTGGTTTGGTTCAGAAGTATGCGCTTCCTTGGTGTGGTGTCCCACTGTTCCACTATCAAGCATTAAATCGATGCTGCAGAAGAAGAAGAACAAGACAAAGCAATAAAAACATACACCGCATTCTTCGGGAAGCACCACATGCAGCTTGCTGAAAGCTGAAAAAATATGTTTGCAGCTTTCATTCATGGTTTTTGCCCCTGCGACTTCGTTGCAGGGACTTCTTGCCTTGAGTCTTGCGATTCCGTTCTCGCCAGGAGGGTGATAGTGGCGCCTGGTGGCGATTGGGCTCTGTCTCCGCTGCCTTCGGA